ATAATGTGTAATCCACTGCAATCAAACTTGCAAGCTATTTCCAATCATTTGGTCCTAGCAGGAAAATCAAAGGGGTCTTCGAAGCTTTTTTTAATCCTCTAGTTGGCAGAACTTCCACGGGCTTATCCTCATAGGCGTAACAATGTGTGCATTTTCTCATCAGCTCCAATTGTGTGTATCTGAAGCAGCAAGGTAACCGCAAACCAAATTATAATGAGAGTCACATATTTTTCTCATGCTCACATGAATGGAATCGAAAGGAATTCTCAACACTCCAATTGGGTGTTACGCGCAATGGCATCTCGCCTCTGTTTAACTTTGAAACTTTACGTTTAATGGCAGTTTAACTGCCTCAGTGTAAACATTTACTCGTTTTCTAACTTTCTTTTTTTTACTTTGCAAAGGGAATAATATCAAAGCAGCGGTGTTTTGCACCATGTTTGTCAACGCTAAGATCTGCGAAGACGTTGTCTTGTCTTTGACTCCAATTCTATGACTACAGGGCAGCACTGTTAAAAAAGCGATTTCACCCACTACAAGACAAATTATTTAGAATTTGAGCTTGAGCAAGATAGCCATGGATTGGCTGAGCGATGCCTACTTAAAAGGAATAAGTAACAGACAAGTTGACGTTAGTGTGATTGATGCATCCTATAGTAAATAATCAGTCTTTAATTTTGATGCATGACAGTAGAATTTTGGTCGGGATAAAGTGTCTTGACTATCTGCAATATTAAAAAAGGAAGGAAAGGAGATGCATTCAAAATGAGCCGTTTGAAGCTGTGCGAGGGTAGCTACTCCACCAGCCCAAATCTCAGAAATTGGACAAGGGCCATCCAGTAGCTTGCCCCACAGCTTGGTGCACTACACGTTGTTACATTTCATCAAAAGGTTTAATTAAAGAATTCAGCTGTCAGGATAGCGTTAACACTTCATTTTCTTCTTGACTCACGATGTTGATCTTCACAGTCACCTACCCACGTTGCACCGACAATTTGTGCAATGTACAAATATTGCGAATGCATGAATGCAGCATGGACAGGTGAGTGGCATGCTTTAATGTCAGACGAAATATTTTGCGTTGCAACGTGCTTTTCGGTTCCCCAGCCACTGTTACAAGTTCAATTGACCACCAGTCTTGCGCATGCTTTGCGATGCAGAATCGCTCAGTGAAATGGATAGGCATTAGGATGTAAGGCCTTCGAGGCATTTCAGCAGGTCGTCATGAGCATGGGAAGTGCTATGAAGGATACATGCCTTAATGAGATAAGATTATGGTTCCACGTTCTTATGGGGCACTTTATTCAAGTCGTAGAAGTCTGCAAATCTACACAACACACCAAATCTTCCATGATAAACACTTTTTTTAGCTTTTGATGGGTGAATAAAGTGAGGTGATCCTTTCAAGTCGATGAGGTACGCTCTCCGCGCGGTAAACTTGACACCTACTTTGAAGTGCGGATGTTTATTTACCGCTAAAATGAGGCCTTAAAGTTGGCCGTTAATGGTCTTAGTTGAAATTAATCTCTCTGTTTTCCTTCGAACGTATTTCAGACGATCACATCAACACTAGCACCACTTGACACACCTTCGTTATGGTTGCTTAATGCTAAAGAAGCATACAAGTTTACACGCTTCGTCAAAAAGGGTTATTTCTTTAGGTAGTAGCACCTTGGCCACAAGCAAAGCAAGCATTCGATGCTGTAATTTATCTGATCTCGGAACTGCTCCCACGCTGAAGGCGGTTTGCACTTGTTCTGTGACAATGGATTGCAATTAAATGCGTTGTCAACCGAGTGTTTGAGTAAGGAAATAAAAAAGACGTGCAGCTCTGATTGCACATGATGGCTGTGAAAAGGGCTAACCAAAGGGCTGACAGATTGTGCTGGATTAGCCACAGCATCTGGGTGGCGAATGCGTTGCGCAAGGATGGCATTAAGCAGCACATTGATGCCATTCCAGTGACAACTCATAAATACCACCGCCATCAGGAAGAAGTGACAGAGGAGTGGCTATGTTTGGAGGCATAAAAGCTGTATCCACCTCGAAATCAGAGTAAAATGATTGTCCAGAGTCCCAAGCCTTCCCACCATGTAGAAGAAGGCATTAAGTTTGGCTGGAAAAAATGTATTTCGGGGGGATAAGAATGAGCTGGACCTTGGCCTGGCTGGGAGATCGGCCATGGAGCAAGACGAGCACCAGAGTGAACGCCAGACATTAAGCGGTCACACAAACAAACTAATACAGATTGTGTTAATGATATCGCCTCAGGTAATCGTCATTTTCCGGTTTCGACAAAAGTCAAGAGCACACAGCTTGTTTACCACCGTGCCTAAAGGACTGTAATGACTACCCATAGTTGGCCAAACAAAACGGTCTTAAAACCGTCTCGTGCGTACTTAAAAATGTGGGTTGTTTTACCCGACCTGATACTGTGGGCATAGAATGAGCCAGGACACTGCCAAGTCAGGAGTAGAGAGTTGTAAAAAGTGTTTTTCTTAAGGAAGAAAACTGAAGTACTTGGTCTGAAAAAACTGAAGTTGATGTAATAAGGAAACATTTCGGAAAATTTAGACATTTCTTCAAAGAGTGAGTAGCCAAATGAGAAGAGCAGGCGAGCTTTAAATACTTAGCGTGTGCTTTTTAACTTCAGTCTAGTTTTGAGTCCACGATTTTACAGTGTCAGCTTATTGTCGAGATGCCAACTCAACAATCGGCATATCAATTTGCGCTGACTTATTTTAGAACTGATCACAGCAGAGCATTTAGCGGTAATACCTAGTTGAAGTGCTAACCACAAGCAGCAAAAAATTTGCCCTTATCAAAGACCTCGCCTCTGTGAACAACCAGTATTGCCTTTGTTGCTCCATTCAATTTCCAAACCATCTATTGTAGTTCGCATTTTGATGCCTAGTGTGGAGCCAAGAAGCGACAAGAGATTAGAGAGGCCGAATGCGGATTGTAGCAGCACTTTCCCTTAAACCACATATTGGGTTTACTTTCCAGCATAAGATGAAAGGCTTTGTTAAAGAACGCCATTAGAAAATAAAGTGATAAACGATATATTACGGCCATTGAAATCGGCAACACCGCTGAAAGGCCATGTACAGTAGAGCGTGTAACATATACTAGAGTGTATAAGTGGACCTTTATAGGAGAGAAGCGGGAACCGATTTGGAACGCGAATCCCGTGCGCGAGGACCGTGAGAAATCCCTCTACGGGTGATAACGGCTATTCGGCTCATCTATGCTCCCTACCTCCATTCTTCCTGCATTCGATACCTTATAAATCGACTGCAGCTGACCCTCTCTTGAAGTCCGTGATTCAAGAACATGAGGGTAGGTAGGCAGTTCCTACAGAGCGTTTTAAACGCGTCCTGTTATTAACAACCAGTCCACATGTAGTGCTTCAGTCGGTACTTCAGTAAAACTTTTATATGTGCAACATTTGTACTGTGGCGTCTTGTAATAGCTGGTTTCACAAACTCGTATGGCAAACTTTTGGTTGGATCATATTGGTAAACAAGGAAAGGTTTGTCATTTGAGGCTGACTTAAATTTTATTCATTAGGAAGCATAACTTTACGCAGTGTAAATTTTATGAACTGCAATAGTTCAAGTAGCTTCCACCAACCATTTGCCATAATTATTAGCAGGTGCTAGCCTAATATGAATTCCAACAAGTTTCTAGAGTTCTGACAATCTCATCTGTTTGTTACCAAAGCGTATCCATAAATGTGGGGGAGTAATTAGGCACGCATATATAAAATCAAATATTACTTTTAGATTATGCAAGCCGAATAACTTAGTCCGAGTGACTGATGGACGTCTTAAGTGGATCAATGGGAATGAAACCGTCTGGAGTCTCCTTGAAGTATCTGGGTGTATGTGTAATACCTCTCTTCGTTCGTGCTTGTTCACTGGCGCGTTGAATTTCCTCCAGCTGCAATTAGGAAACACTATAAATACTTGTTCTACTTACATATAATTAGTAGAAAGGTTCGTTAAATACAAAACCAACCTTGGTTTTCTCCTTAGTAGCGAGATCAATATCGCCAACTTCCAAAGCCGCTGTAACAGCAGCCCACAAACGTTGAGACTCTTCAGGGGCTTGAAGAGACACCGGTCGAACCCATTTAGGTTCGATCTTTAGTGTTCCAGTATCTATCACTTCTGTGGTGCCCTAAAAGTTAAGCGTCGGAATGGTTGACGAAAAAGCACCTTACCTGAACATTATCAACTAATTTCATGGTAGAATTCCAGTGGCCCAAAACAGTGACCACCGGTTTTTTCTGACCTCCTGCGGTGGTTGGCGCAAACATTTCGGCAGATACTTGGTGCAAACGATTTGAGTTTATTGACTGAAAGAAAAAAGAGGAGGTCATGAGAATACCTCCATTTAAGAAAACCAACCCAAAGCTGCTAAGTGGGGTAATTCTCATATGCTAAATTTGGAAAGTGCATTACCTAAGGGTTTTGTACCATCTACTTGTACCATCTACTTCAAAAACCATTCATATCTTAATGAAATCAATTAAACATAAACTTCGTCATGCCGCATTTAATGCGATAGCGTTTAACTGTGGAGGTTTCAATCAAAAGTGAACATCAGGTCTGCATGCTTCACCATACTTAAGAAAGAAATAAACATCAAAAATCCTTACGTTAATGAGGCCTGCAGAAATTTTAGCTCAGGGTTTTAGACTTAAGGTTTAACCCAGGTTTCACCATAGATGGATTCCAAAATAATGGCAAATGGCATCACTCTTGGTCAGTTAGGGTCTACACTATGATTTTAATTGTTTTTCCGTATATTTTGCGGGTAGTCCTTACTGTTCCACAAAGTACCAGTGCTTGGAGCAATGCTAGAATCGCATGGATGCTTGTTGAAACACAGTATTCCAACTCTAATGTGGAAACAATTTGGCGTTACGCATAAAAAATCATGCCTTTTTGTTTCCGAAACGGAATCACCCTTTATGGTCCATTAGCACCTTGCCCTATGGCAAATTGTGTGACTTCACTGCCAAACCGTGCTGACATTAGCTTTTTTATTGCTAGAACGCAACTTATTTGTACTTCAGAGGCTCCCTTTGAATGCAAGTGCGTACACCGCCTCTCATCAAGCCAAATTGTTCAGTAAGTCGTATGGCTTTGAGGCAAAAGCAACTTGATTTTTTACCTGTACAATTGCTCGAATTTCGTCCAGTCGCTTATGGAAGGGGAAAAAAAGGATTGTTGTCTGCTGACAGGAATGTAATAGTTTAGAGTGAGTGATGAATGTATGCACTTGGTGTCGCCACCCTCTGGCAGATGACGCCCGATTTTGGCTCAAAATTTTCTGACGGTGAAGCTAATTTCGTTCACCTGAATGCCCTGAGTGGATCTTCCTGTCTGCTTGCAATGTGCAAGGACAAAATCTCGCATCTCGACTCTTTGATAGTCAGTTTCAAAACTCCTTCACAGTTGCCTCAAGTGTTGTAACCTACTTGAGAGTATGGTCCTGTAGCCATGCAAAAAATGGAAAGTAAACGATTGCCTACACGATGTGTTATCATTTTCACTTACCTTTAGGTTTAGATTTTGTTAACAATGGACACGATTTACAAAAACTAAGGAAATGCAAAGGTTAATCAAAGCTTTAAGAGGGAGGAGATGTGTTTACTATGCGTCTGTCCATGGAACAATAGGGTTCCGTGTTAATCTTCCAACAAATACCCACCCTATCCCTTTCGATGGAAAAATCAAAGCATTTCCACTCCTCACAGAGGTGTACTGAAGAAATTGTGGCTATTTTGGGCCTAACCTTTGTGTGGAATCGGATGCTGGCCGAGTAGCCGGACTGCGGACATTCAACGGCAATGTTACCCCCAAGCTCGAACCAGGGCACCGAGAGGATTGAACGACCGTAGGCGGTGGGCAGCGAGAAGATGTAATCTTCGTCGTGCTCACCCAGTTTCAGAACCACTAAAATTTCAACAGCGGAATTAATGCGAGTTGTGGCAGGCTATAGGCCATTGTTCTTTGCAGCTCACACACAAAACGCACTTCCTGCTAGTACAGCTGTTAAGGTTCCTTGAAATTTATGTTACCATGAGGATCAAGTGCAATATGCATTTACAACCTCGTTGCAATCAAAAGCAATAAAGTTGGCTCATCATCCATCCACTGAGAGGTAAAAAATGAGCCAAAGTATGGTTAGCAAAGGCGGGTGGATTAGCGTTCCCGTCGTTAAAGTCCAACTTCTCATGCAAGCACTTTGGATACTGTTGGACTCCTCTTTATTAGCCATTGTTGTGTCAAGTTAAAAGAATTGATCACAGTGGCACGATGTAGGGATTTGCTGAAGTTAATTTTTTGATTCCTAACAGAAGACTGCAAAAGGCCAATTAGCGGAGGATTTACAAAACAGTCATGTTGAGTAACAATTTTCAGCGATGTCGTTCCTCCCTCCCACATCATTGCATCCCTATCCACACACAGAAGCCTTGCCATTCCAGTAACTTGAATAGCCATGACAAGTCGCATGCAGCAATAAACAACAGCCCGAGATCTCCCTTGGTAGATGGAACGAAAACAATAACAATGCACAAGTTGAAAGGAAAACAGTACCACCATTTAAAGCTGATTGGCATTCTTTATTAAAACTAGCAGTGGCTTGCCTCGAATCCGCCTATTACAGGTTGATATGCACCAGAGATTGGGCTAAATTAATTGTTTGCCTCAGGCAAATTCTAGAAAGAATAACTACTTTCACTTTGTTTCTCTTACTTAACCTTAATGGATTGTTTCACCATAAATAATTGAAAGAAGTGCCATTTGGAAGGGAAAGGGGCGTTCACCTGACAGATTTATTAGGGTTCTACTCCCTAATTTCATCTGCTTCCGTTGCCTCTTTCAAAGGCCCATTGCAAATGTCCTTGTGGTGGAAGGTTTACAAGGCAGAGGGCGGAATCTACGTGTGTCTTATCACTAGGAGCCAAAGCTGGAAGAGGTTGGCAGAAGCGATGGTGACGTTACAAGTCTCAACGCCTGCGCATTAATCACTGGGACAAGTTGGCTGGGTAGTTTGTTTAAACTTTTGCATGACAGAAAAGTTGTGCGCCATAATGAGTGGTATTAGGAGCGGCTAAACCTTGCAAGCCGTTGTGGTGGTCGCGTCAGGCACGGCGGCGCTCAAAGTGCAGTAACGATGGAGGAAACAAAAATATTTAATTTCATTGCAGCTAATTGTTTATTTTCCCTTCCTACCGTAAATTAGCAATTCAAGTTTAGATTTCCTGTTATTTTGGCTAAGCTTCAGTAACGTCTAGAGGCAGACTGAAGCAGGGATTTGGAACTTTCAGCTACAGTAGAAAAATTGCTGCCAATGCATATTTGACTAAAAATTGTCCGGAGTTGGTGGGAGAAGGGAAGTTTCCACGCACTTAAGTGTACTGGCAAGGTTTCAACGGCGTTCCACTGCAACTCGACGTGGACTGCACTTTCTGCACCTGTTTCGCATAGCCCATAAAAAAGTTGCTCCACAACTGGGCTTAAGCCAATTTAATGAAGCCAAACCAGTGTTTTGCATTTACAATTAGCCTTAGCATGGCAATCTCAAATCAGCTTAACTCGACACTGATGCACATTTTGTATTTTTGTTGGAATGGCTTCAGGGAAGGTAGGAGTTGAAGCTTGAGTTGAATGATGACGAACAGCATCCGGCATGTTGGAGGACTGGAGGGTGATCGTGTTACAGCAAAGCGAAAACACCACAGACTCCATAAGTTAAGAGGTATTATGAGACAGCAAAATTTATATAAGACGATGCTAAAAAAGCGAAGACAATTTTTTCATAAACAGAATTCTTCTGGACAAAATTGACAGTTGTCTCAGAAAAACGATCACCTATCATAACCCGTAAAATGTTGCAAAGTGGCGTCGATTAAGTGCATCACAAGACGAAGTACCTTTCGATGTGCTGCGATACAACTTCCTGCAAATTCGGCCTTGGTAAGTTCAAAGTTCAGGTAAATGTGGCTCAAGACCATTAGTTACACAAGGCAAACTCAAAATACCTCGAAAAAGTAGAGGTCTCTGATCACTTTTGCAGTAAGAGGAAAACGCGGCGTCTAGAAACGCTTTTGACTACATGAATTTTGCACTAAACGATGTCAATGCAGCACGCGTAGGGAGACCCTCCGGTTACATGGCACTGTCGATGCCCCATTTTTAATATGTAACAGTGAAGCAACAACTTTAGCTGACAGGAAAGGTGAATAATTTCTAGGGGAGGGAGTTGGGGAAGGTAAATTGCATTAGTTAACATCCCATGGGATTAAGGGGTGACAACAATGCAAGCCCCAAATGGGAGGTGATCGGCTTTTAGATATGCCCACCATATGTAAGTGAGCCATTGGGAAAGGATTGCCTAACTGACTTATGATGTAAGACGGCTTTCTACCCGACGGTTACTTGTGTTTCGAGAAGACTGCTACTTAACCCAAATCGTCCACTCATTGCTGATTCCACGCCTCCACGTTAGGTCTCAGCTTATTTGTGGGAGTCTACACCAGCGATGGCTAACAAATGGGTGGCGCGACTGGTTTTTTACGTAAAATGCAAAACATCCAAAGGGCGTAAGAGGAGAAAATCTCCTCCTTCTCAAGCTGTTAGTACTGATCAATGCCTTCTGGGAGATTTCATTCATCAAAGACGAGACGACTCATAATGTCCTTAAGAGGGTCCCACCTTCCGCAGTCCGCTCCCATTTCCTCAACCATTTCTGAGGTCAACAATAGCCAATCGGGTGTGAAGTAACGCAGACAGTTGGAACATGAATGAAAATGACCAAGAGAAGGTTGCATAACCATAAGGGCGAGCTTGGCAATCTTGCGCCTGCTCAAGGAGGAGTGCCAACAAATAACACGTTTGACTTGGTGTCTACTTCGTTGGCTTTCTTAACAAAAAGGTGTATCAAGTGATTTACTTACCCTATGCCACGTAAGAAGCAACCGCACGATGTCTGAGCTTATTTATAGTTTATTTATTTTTTTGAATTCAAATTCCCTTCTGCAGCCTCTGGAGCCCTGATTTACGACCTTCGACACCACAAGGAGGTAGTCTACACTTCGAGTGATGCGCTTTACTATTTAAGGTCCACCATTGGGAAGCAGAAATGCCCCTCAGTCTAATTGTGAGGTGTGACACAACACCTTCTTTCTAGTGTCAAAGGCTACACCACAAGACCATAGTTTTCGATCCTTCAGTGAAAGTTAAAGTCCATATCATACCAGTCTACGCACCTTTACCAATCATGTTGACGTAGATGGAAAGAGTGCGGAATTGAGACCGAGTGTGTATGGAGCCAAGAAGTTCCAATTTCCGTTGAGGACAACTGATTTGGAAGGCGCTGATCGGGGGATGATGGGATACCTGCTCCCCAAAATAAGTCGTTACAATGTGATCGGTGGAGGCGTCTTTGGCGGCGGGGAGGCGCCAGCTGCACTGAAAGATCTCCCCAATTATCGGGTTGTAGGGTTTCCTTGCCACCTTGTCCTGGTTGGAGTTAAGATGATTTCAGACTAACCTCAATTTTTGCATGCAATTTTAGGTAATTGTAAAGTTATGAGAGAGGAAGCAGCTCTACTGTTAGTGTACAGCACTGACATCCTTATAATGCTAACTAACTTTTCATAATACTAAATGACGGTTAGACTGAAAGGGAGTTTGCTTAGCGTGCACGATGAGTGACCCCAAAAGCAGCTTAATTAGTCGCGTTTCACAGCTACGTTTCCTCAAAACATAGCATTCGATCTGCGTGAAATGTGTGGAACACTCCTTTGCACCTACTTTGTCATGATGCCTTACTACTATGACCAAAATTAACGAACTTTCCACCTTCCATTTGCTCATTTACCTTATGACTGGCACTGTGTGGCAAGTCTCGCAGCAACAGTAGCCACAGCATTAAAAATGCTAGGTGAACAACACTTCGTTATTTACTCGAATGTGTTAAGCGCTTGGATGCAATCATTTGCGCTTAAAAGCCATAAATTACCCTTGACCGTTTGTGATCGCATTTTGTTCAATTCTACCGCGTCATTATCCTTCGAAGTTTTACGTCCTTGTCAGAATGAAATAACCAGTCAAATTTTTGACGTCTATAAAGGTCGTTGTGAAGTGATTTCAGGCGCTAGGAGAGGTGAAAATAAAACCGTGATTTAAGGAGCCCTAGCAGAAGTGAGTGCGACCACCTCAAATAGGATGGAGATAAGGAAAGAACGGCTTGGCACATTGAGCCTGGGAGATTAAAACATTCTCTTGTTCCCCCTTTACCAGTGCCAATTGCGGTGGCTCAGTAAGCACGGCGCTCCGCATGGAAGAAGTGTCGTAAACCGCAAAGCGTCGCTCAACCTCTACTTTTGCTATGCAGAAAGGGCTTGGAAAAATGGTGGGGCAGAAAATGCGAGGGCTATTCTACCCTCAAACATTTACCATTTGGGTGATCAGAAAGCACATTTGCAACGTCTGAAGTGAAGTGGGATGGTGACTTCACACAGGCTGACAAGAGTGGTGTGAAATTATTTTTGTCATACCTTTCTACAGGAGTGGAAAGCCGTTAAATACCACTTGATGAAGTTCTTCATTCTCTCATGCGGTGTTGCTCCATCTGTGATGCTGTAAGACAAAGACATCACCTAAACCTTTTGATATGATTTGACTCAGCTTCATTGACTTAACGCCAATAATGAGAGTACGGTTTTCCGTGACATGGGTATGAGTGAATGCTGGGTTACTTGGAAGATCTGCTGATTTAAAGCACAAATACGCAATGATTATAAGTAGTGTAAAAGCAACGAATAGGAAGTTGTACGGCAACTTGGCTAGAGTAAGAAGTAGTGGTTTACAATTACTTTACAGCGGTGCAGTAAAAGTGGAATGTGGTGAAAACATTCCGTTAAAAAGAGGGCATCAAAGAGCGATCAAATTTTATGCTGCGACTGTTGTGAGGCAAGGAATTTTTCTTAACCTACAAAGTCTAATTTATCCTCTTTTATCCTTGCAAATAAAGTGTGTTTTCAACAAGGCCTACCTTATGAACAATTGGGGATGTGAATTATAATCGGCAAACATCTCAAGCAACGACCGCCTTTCAAGTATGAATGTTGGCAGAACAATCTAGAAGAGGAGGGAAGGGGCTTTTTACTAGTCACATATGGCAGGTAGGGGAAAGCAAACCGGGTTGCACAACAGCAACTAGATGCAACGTCGATTGTTGCAGTAACGATTCACCTGAGTCAAATCCTTTCCTTCTTTTAACTGTGAGACGACGTGAGTAATAACACCCTTGTAATTTTCAACGGAGCCGATTTCTTTGTCTTCAATTAAATTCGTGGCAACTTCATCTTCAGGATTTATCAGAAATGTCGTTTTAGTCATCCCAGTTATCGGCGGTGGAATCGGATCGTCCGCTGTACTTTAAAGCAAAAAAGGTATCATTCCATTATAAGCTAAAATACTTTTCAGCAAACCTTTTCATTTTAAGCGGCCTGATTGCCAAGGCGACTTGTCTATGACGACGAAAGCATGTAAAGTGTTATCAAATTGTTTATGAACCCTGAGTGCTTCAAAGTCGGTGGTGTCGGATGAAGTAAAGCTGATCACATCTACTTAGCTGCTGATTGACATGTGAACTACGGTAGACCAGTCCGCCTGGTTTCGAAATTACTTCCTTTGAAATTTGGGAAAAAACGGTAGGAAATCTTGGTTGAGAATTTCAAAGATGGACAAAGTAAAATGGCCGATGGATAAGAAAAACAAAGACATCCTTTAGTCCCGTGACCATTAAATCATAACAGGTCACATTCCAAGCTCAGGACATTAGAGCACTATGCTAAATTTGGAGTTCATGCCAGGACACGCGAGATTACACATCTTCCGCTTCTGTCTCTCCCTATCCTATCCATGGTGAGCTCATGCAGTTGCTTTCCCGTAGCGACAGCACATGCCCGTAAAAGCTTGCTGTGATGGGAAAATGTGATTGTGGAGGCTATTTTTTGGAAGTGGCGTAACGTTGTTGTGAGCCAAATGCGTTCAACAAGGAATTAATGTTTGATGAAGCCAAGTGTTTATAACCGGAATTTTCCCTTTAACTGAGGTTAATGGATATGATAATTTACAACTTCAAAAAGAATCTACATATGACCAACAAACTGTTTCTCATTGAAGTGTTTTTTTTCAGTTTTGTCAAAAAGTACTCAGGTCAGAGGGATTGCTACGTCTCCTTTTTAAGTTGAACATAAACAACAAGACTGGCTCTTTGTTACTCGATTATTTAACGAAAAATTTAGAAACTAAAAATGTTGAAGAGACAAATTCGTTCAAAAGCTATTCAGCACAGCAGTTGATTTCTTCGAACTCACCTTCTAGCTATTCTATGAAAGGTATGAAAAGTTATGGTGGACTAAAAAAACGTAGACAACAACCGAATAATGGAGGAGAACTGAGAGTTTTATCCAGAATTGAGGATCTAAGTGAACATCCTAGTACTAAGGTGAAGCTATTGCACCAGTTTTTCACTAACCAATGAAAGTTCTACTTCCTGACTCACCCACTCTCCTGATTTGTTCCGTTTTTGGGGGACAGGGGTGCATTACCTTCCATGGCCTTTGTAGAAAGCAACCAGAAGTGTAAAAAGAAGTGCTGCCTGTGGCTATGCGCATAGACCCAGTCAGTGTGCACTCACACCTGCCTCCAGCTCTTTGAAAAGCTCGTCTTCAATCAGCCTCACTCAACACCTCATTACGCCTCTATTGGTTGTCTCTTGCAGCCAATCACCTTTCAAATTTTAGGGTAGGGAGCTCAAATTTGGAACAGGAAGTCCAAGCACTCACCCTTCTTTCAGTTTTATTTTCGTCTGACTTATCACTTGCAATCTTTTCACTCAAGTTTGTTACCGTAAACGAGTCGCTTGACTCTATTTTAGCAGTAGTAGAAGTAGTGATTCTAAGGAGTGCTGTGAAACGGTTCCCACAACCCCAGTTGGTTAAAAATGACTTGCGACTTTAATACGCTCAGGGCCTGTAAAATGGAAGTGCTAAATGGCTGTAATGAACCACCCAAGTCTGAAGAACTTGCCCCCATTTCATCAACTATTTGTCCGAAGTGAATAAAATGTTCATCACTAGTCGAGTTTGTAGTTCCTTTCAGATAATGAAGGTTTCCTTTGTTAAAAAGGTGAAGGCTAGTTTTCCAGTGTGGGAGACAACCTCAGAGAAGCTGATACCCTCTACACCGTATCCATTGCTGTTTCATGTGTGGAGTGGGAGTTGTAAAAGCAAAAAATTTACAACCATCGAAACCCCAGCTTTCAAGCGCCAATAACACAGCATTTAAACTTGTTTGAGATTTCATTGTGAACTGATGATGTTTCAGTCCAACAAATGTTATTCCTATGCGTGACAATGAATGTCATCAAGCCGCAGCCGGCAATTAACTCTAGACCAATGAAGTCGACTTGAAATATCGAAATGGTGGGAAAGCGCTGGGACAGGCCATCTTCATTAGTCAAGACTAAACAAGGTGCATAAGGAGTACGCAATGCCCATGACGCTTGGGTAAGGATGCCACGAATGGTGGAACATGGGACGACTTCTATTCAGTGTTATCCCAATGGAGGGTAAGCGCAATTCACGAAACCCCTAGAAATGAAAAACTTTGTTCTCGTTTATCAGCACAAATTGATAACAATTTCACTCAAAAGCAGGACCAAGAGGAAAAGCGGCGCAACCTCGACAGGAGTATCCCATGTTTGCGAATCATTTCAAATTTCTCATCAAACCAAGCAATTAATCACACCATCGAAGCAACCCGACATGGAAGCACCTTGGAAGGTAACTAACTCTCAAAGCTGTGTGATCACCTCTAAAGTTCTCATAGAACTAATTTACTTACTCAACACTGGATAAACAGATCATAGCTATACCCAGAATTTATCAAGACTCATGATGTAAACTAATAGACGAAGAACACAGACCAGCACTCATCTGAGGTAGCACTTTGTCTTTATGATAAGCACATGGCTCGCACCACAAAAACCTCACCCGTCTCGGTGCATTATGACTAGCATCATAAATTGTAGGGTGTGAAGGATCACCAATGCTTCTCGAGATGTGCTGTTCTCAAAAACCACCCTCCCACTGCAGTACAATGTGAAACAATAAAAATGCGAATAAGAGGAACGAGAATTCTACGTAGATGGATAGTCTTCCATTGACCAAATAAAGAACACAAATAATCACGAGTGCGTGGAAAGAGGGAGGGAACTAGGCAAGGGGTGGTCTAAAGGAGACCCACATCGAGAGAAACATTGCTATTGTCGCGTTGGAGCCCACCAAGGCATTGCTTTAGAGACTTGATTGAAGCCTGGCTTGTTGCCTTTATTATGAGAAGATTCTAAAAAGCAAACCACACCCTCAAGTTAGTTTTGAACACACATTATAAAAGCGTCAGGCCATCTACTGCGACCATCGTTGAGACCTTTAAACCGAAAAAAATTTACTTTTTGAATTCGCCCAGCCGTAGGTTTTGAACCATAGACAAATGGAGGATGTTGAGTTAGTAGAATTAACAAGTCCCAGGGCAAGGGAAATGTCGAGTTCAGTTTTACTTCTTCTCAATGCGAAAAAATCGCTCCACCGCCATTTAAAACACTCCGTCCTGTCTACTTTCAGCTTTCAAAATTTGGCTCCGTAAAGCATAAAAAGTCCAAAAGTAATGCTACCTTCGCATGAGACATCTATCACAGGGCTACTACAACAGAGACCTGTATTCAATGCGTGACTGATAAACGTACACGCAGCACTTTGGTCATTTGTCTGTTCCAAGGACTTTAATTTAACAAGTAAGTCAATTAAATGATTAACTTATAAAAGATCTGGACTGAGAGCAAAACAAATGCGCTGGAAATTGCAACACCAGAGGAAGCATCAACAGTATGATCCTACAAAGCCACATCAAACCCAAAACCCAAACTGGCAGATTCCGGGAAAATGAGTCTCGAAGCATTTATTTTCCTGCTATAAAGACATCGAAATAGCTCATCCATTATCCAACGTGCTTTAGGGACAGGCCGATGACTCCCAAAAATTCTCGCACTTGGAAATTAAAAGTATGGAAATAAAAAATTGCCTACCGACAATGAGTATCTGCCCAAATCAAACCAATTACGATGACTAAATTCCACAACAAAAAAAAACACCGACGATGTGTTGGTGACAATACGAGTCTCTACAGCTTCCAAAATAGTAACGAAAGTATGTTGTTAGCTAAGTTAGCTCTTTGGTGATTTAATGAACGATACATGACCCTCCCATATCAAAATATTCCTTTGGTTAGGTGGGAAGATAACTCCGAACCTCGCTATGAAATAGGTGAAATTTAGCGGCTCTCAGTAAAAACGATAGCCGACTCACTAGAGGAGTTTGTAGGTGATCGAACTACAATGAAAAATGCGCCAATTTCCGACTCCAACCAAAACAATACGCCTAATGTGACCCTCCTTACCCGGTAAAGTTCGGTGACTTCAGGACTTCTGTTGGCGAAGGCTACAGTCGGTTGATTGTACAAGTCCTACAGAGAAATAGGTTTCCAGTAAAATAAAAAAAACACCACGGTAGTTTGCATAAAGCTGTGCTTTGGGAAAGCATTTTTGAGGTGGCTTTCGTATTCGATCCTAAAATTTGATAGTTTGGTGTACCACAATCTACGTTACCTAACTGATGGAAGTCTGCATTATAAATAAGTGTGGGAGTAAATATACCAAGTAAACCACATTAATGCTGATCTGGAGCAATCGAAAGGGATTGAAACTGATGAGGCCAACCAGTGTATGAGAAATTCCCAATAAAAATGAATTTTTAGAGTTTAAGCTTGCCAAAAGAGAAACCTATGAGAGGTTGTTTGAAGAAAAAATTTTCAAACTCGTTAATTGAGTTTCGGAAGCGCCTTGGTGAATCAGGATGAATTTCTCCTTGCAAGCAAAACACTCAAATCCAAGAAGGCAGAAGTAGTTTTCACCAAGATAAATTCAAAAGCCTAGCTATCCTATTACAAACTCTGCAGTTCCGAAGCTACTCTTCATGTAATAGTGAAACACCAAAACAGGTGTGAAAAGCGGCAAGGAACTGGGCAGAAAAACAGAAGGAAGTCTTGACCATTGAAATTATTTCCTTTCCTGAATAAATGTGAAAACGAAAAGTAGCCGCACAAAGCAAGGCCGGAAAAGTGAGTGCTGGATGAAATGTACAGTCAATAAAAAGGAAAACTTACGTCAATATCTCGACCCAGGAGATTGCCCTCACGTTCAAGTAGCCGGAAGAGTTCATTTAGCTGATGGTAGGGATCCACCAGAGCTGGTGCATCGTTGGCGTTGAGATTGACTTCGGAGCTAAAAAACCGAAAATGAAATTATAGTCTAATCGCATTGATGTAATTGCTGCAAATGAAGACAATGATCCATTTTGCTTTACTTGACACACACATGGGCATACATCCCAAAAAGCTAAATTTCAAAAACCTAAGAGAACTCGCGAATGGAAGAAGCATACGAATAAGGAGAAGGGGCATCCAAGGCAAATTTTCTATCAGCACTGCGTCCAGTTCTACTGCTGATAGAGCGGTGGCTTCGGAACGACTGGTCTGAAAGTAAAATATTTGCTAGCTTCAGAATAGCACAAGGGACCTTTCTCAGTTGAAATTTTAGAAAGTAAAACAAGACATTGATTGAGCTAAATTTCAATCCTCCTGCTTCCAACATTGATACGGAGAGCATCAAACAAAGGCATATACTCTCAACTTTTTGCCATCAAGGCTAAGAATCAAAGTAACAAAGCTATGCGCTTGATTCTGAGGTATAATACACCTGTAAGGTAAACTTTCGATGAGTTCCCATGACAAAGATTTGATTGCGGTTGGCGCATCAGAATATGTATTCAGCTAAAAAGTGTAATAAAGTTCAAATATGACTTTCTAAAGCCAAAGCTCGTGCCACGAAATGGGAACCTCTTGTGAATTACAAACAGAAAACAAATATCAAATCGACATACAGACTTTAAATACTCGGATTTGTTGAAGATAGTGTGCTTGTGTTCAAGCCTAGCTACGTTCACCCCACGTTTACGCGAATTACAACTAGCATCGACGCCATAACCTCTAAGATGCAAAACCATCAGTCCAAGGGAAATGCCTTTTACAGAGAAGGATGGTGAAAATACGATTTTTGAGCGTAAGGTGCACATTCACACAGGCCAAACAAACCGAAGCCATAGATATGACTTAAATTTCTCCATTTCGCATTACCTCAAAGCTAAACGCTGAAATCTATGTAGGTCCTATCGGGACTAATTGTAAACCTGCCGACACCGTTATTGCAAAATTAAAACCGCCATTCATAAAAAGCCTTGAGTTAGGTGGCCGCCTTTATCACTGTGAAAAATTAAAACAGAGTTGACGATCCGAGCTTGAACCCACGCACACTGTCTAGCGGACCTGACATATTGTTGCAACCAGTATTCGCCGTTACCGAGTTCTTGTATGTGAATCACAGGGTAATTTAAACAGAGGGTGAGAGAGCAAAGGGGCGAGATACCTACCCGAATTGGAGGAGTTCAACATTACCGGTCGAGCCTCCTTCACGGGCAGAAGAGACGGTCGCTGCACAGGTGATGGCAGACCTGCAAGCTGAAGCACCGCACAAAACGTTTCCGTGCACACTAAGACTGATTCGAACTGTCAAACACTTGAGACTCAGTTCAAAGAAAGAATTAATTGGGAGAACTTACGTTGCCTTGGTCAGTGGCTTTTTCGGTGTACAACTCTGCAACCGCGCGGATGTGATTTACCCAAAGTTGGCGTTCCCTTGCGTCGGCAGCTGTCGATGCGAAGGACAGGGACAAATTAAAAGCAAACTAACGATGCACTAACATGATTGCAAGGTGATGAATTTCGCAACGACAACCGGTGTACAACATTCTATACGCCAAGCTGAAAAATTGGCAATTTCCGTCAGTCAACAATAGGTACTTAGTCAAATAGCAGCCAATTTCAGATGGTACATCATTCAATTTAAGAACAAGCTCATCTCTACCCTACGCGTGAAGCTGAAGTCCTATTAAGTACCCCAAATCGTTGTGTTAGTCAATGACTCATCGAAAATAGATCAAAATCAAACCCAGAATCAGAACATCGTCCATTCCAAGTAATTAATAAGATCGAGAAATCAACACTGTTCCACAAAACTAACATCCTAAATTAAAAAAATTGGTCGGTGGTTTTATCGGATTACTCCAAAAACGGATTCTATGCGTGCCTTCAAAATAAGCAATGCTACTGAGATTTCCTATTAAAAAGTCAACCCGAAAATGTCAATTTTGAAGATATAATAACTTCAAAGTCATCTTCGAGCACCCAAAACTACCACTGCAAACGTTGTAGCTACGTCCGATCCCATTACTAAATGTGAAAGGAGAGCCGATCTGCTCTCCAGTAGAACGAGCGTTGCAACTTCCTCAGGGAGATGTTTGCTGAATCATGTAGTTGGCTTTCAAAAGCGGATGCTTTATCCAAAAGGCAATGGCGAAATTATCGTAAACTCTTGTCAGACGAGATTACGTGATCGAACCAATAAATGCAGTGAGAATAAGAAAAAACCGCCGGAAACACAGATAAGCATTTCGTAAAAGTAAGTTCTGTTAAGCAAAATACCCGTCATCTTAGCAATATTTAATGTTAAACAGTGCTTCGTCAACCACCAATAAGTTTTGCACGTTCTTTGAGCACACTTGAAGCCATGAGGTAGCAAAAGAATAATTCAGCACTATCGGATAAAATTATTACTAGCAAGTCGATTCGGCGGAGTCGTGACTATCGCACACGTACGCCAACAGAGAGTGGGGCGACACCTTGAAAAGAACGACGTAAGATTAGTTTCGGCAACTCACCCTTGAAACGGAGATTCTCGCCTTGAGATGTATTTACAATGAAGGTTTGTGAGTCTTCGTCTGAGGGACAAACCGTAGCAAACTGGAGGAAAAATTGACAAGCGATTAGCGACTCTCAATAGCTTGCCTCTAAATTAGAGCATCATTCAACCCCTCACCACAAGACTAACAGAGCTACGGGGTTTTTGAAATTTCTTATGCTCCTCTCTCTAAAAGAAGAGAAAGAGAGAAAAGTTAGCCGCAAGAAGACTGTGATTAACCACATATTTATAAAAAGTGAAGTCATTAGTATCCATAGTCTACTTTTACAAGAAATGGATAAGTTTTGTGGGCAAAATTGGTCTAATGGATGAAAAATATGGGAAACTTGAGCACACCTCATAGTATTCCAACACACCATTAGTCGATTCCACAACGACCCATCGATACTGAAAGCCCTTCATGACATTTGTGAACTTCAGTAGTTGACCCTCAAGACTTTGCCTTATTGAGAAAGGAATAAACAATCCTTTGAAAATTAGTAAGATACCAATTAAATATGTTCAAATTTACAGAGCTATGGAATTAGCGACGTGAATCCAAACTAGTGCTGGTTTAGAAAAAGTAAATGGGTAGCGCTTTCATCAACGTAAATGGGTTCGAACGTTGCAAATGTGGAGTCTCTCGAATGGGTTGATGAACTATTGGAACATCGAAAAACAAATCAAAATGAATTCTACGCCAACTCTTATACGAAAAAAACAATACATTTTCAATGGAGAAGTAGAGGTTTAATGCACCCACCTAATCGTTTTAGTGACAACTATTCAATTCCTAATTTGGATGTACTTGTGATTGAGTAATCGAAAGGCACGAAATAAATCAGCAAGGAACTCTACTTGATCTCGCGACCACAGTTGAAATGGACCAACAAAGAATACATAAATTGGAAACATATAAGTGTGATGAATTTGAGGCCATGGGTTCAAAATGCTTGAAAAACTTACCTAAAAAGGTGACGATCTTCATCCATTTTAAAGACTGAAAGAATGGAATGCATAGGCATGTGTAACTTCAAGTTTCGAAGACAATATAGGTTGAGATAGCATAATACACCAACTTATATTTTACAAGTCAGGCTACAAGGTGAAAGTGGTAAGCCCATGAAGCTAAACGGTTATTGTAGAATAACGAAAAGACAATGATAAGGGTTCAAACAGCAAGGAGCATGAATAGGCTTGGTACCAGACTAAAGGGGGCCAAATTCCAAATTGTTTGTTTATTACATTACACAAAAAAGATTCCCTAAAGTCAGTCTCTCGTTCTCCACTTAAGACAAACACTTCAAGAGCACTGTTTGCACCTATTTCCACCCTCGGCAAACAACTCCGAAGAGCTTGTAAAGATGGAATTAATATAAACAATGTGCGTTGATTAAGTACTTTCATCTTGGAGCTAATAACTTAAAATCGATGGACACTATCATGTCTGAAGGAGTTACATTTAAGACAATGACCGCAATCTAGCCTCTAACAGGAGTAGCCTTCTCACCTCGGCGAGCCTATCGACAAAACCGGCAAACCCGTCAGTACCAACATCATTCACTAAGCACAAACACTGGTGCAAATTTATTGGACAGCACTAGAAGTGTATTAATTGCGCGAATTAGGATACCACAACAAGCCTCGGCAAAAATTATTTTTCATTTTGTATCAATTATTTTAGCAAGCCAGCATTAAAAAACATCAATTTATTTGGCAACCATATTTTTAATTCTCGATTTCATCAGTTACATGCAACATAGTGAAGCAGATAGGAAAAATGTCCAAAGTGTATAAAGAGTATCATCACCACCTTCTAATATTGACGACATTCATACAATTACCCTAATTTACAAACTATTTAGATGAGTTTTGGTATGCTAACTTGCACGTACCTGTGGTGGTTGTAATATATTCTAGCTTGTTTAAGTGGATTTTTATAGGTGAGAGGCGGGAACCAATTGGGAATGTGGATTACGCGCGTGAAGTCGGCGAGGAGCGTCCCTCCGGTTGATAGCTCTTACCTCATCTGTATCCTATTACCCACTCTTTCTAACAGCGATGCCTAATAAATCGTCTACAACCAACTTCCTCTTAAAGTCTGAGAACCTGGGACCAGGGGGTAGACAGGCAGTAACTACAGTGGTTAATTTGTCTTTATAGGGGAGAGGAGGATAAGCAATTGGGACACAAATTCCATTCGCGATGAGAACGAAGAAATCACCTCAAGGTGACATCGGCTTAGTGCCTCATAAATTCTTCACTCGTTTCCATTTTCTGCCCATGGTGCCAAATATACCTTCTCGAACAGATCTCTCATGAAGTCCGAAATTCAGGGGTCACAGAGTATGATCGATTAAAATGCTCAAAGATTTGCAGGAAGACCATTTTCATAGTTTATAGACATGCCTTAGCTCCCTAGTGTTGATATTTTAAAAGAGCGCTTAAAGTTGGGATGGAAAGTTCCTTAACTTATATCCTCTGGTGATGCATTTATTAGTAAAATTAGATAGGTTGTTGCTGCAATAATTTGTTTATGTTACCGCATAACGTTTGTCGGTCACTTTATTGATCGTCTGGCCCTTAAATCCGTGGGCTGGCTTTCAGACCATGCCCAGGTCCATTTGCCCTGTTGTCTTCGGAATCCAGCTACACTTACTGACTTCTTATACCGACTAGGAAGTCTTGAGACGCTGCACTAGCGATCCTACATCAATAAGAGCAAGTGACATGCTGAGTTACTGCGCTTGTCACTGACAGTGACTTTTGAATTCGTTTTGCCCTCGCATAAGTGGACCAGCCTTCAATTATCTGCTCAAAGAATGCTAACTCGTACCTGGTGGGCAATCTCAAGTAACTGCACCTGTCGCCAGAACAAATGATTATAATTAACATCATGAGTACTGCCTAGGTTAAACGACCTGGAGGCATATATATGCACACATGACTTACATCGGTGAGATGGATGCATAAAAATACGATAAAAAATCAGAGCGTATGACAATCGCGTAAAAGTTTGCTACACTGCACCTCGCTGTTATAGTATATTTTCCAAAACTTGCAAGTGTACCACTCTTTAGAGCGATTCAGTTTAAGGATAAAAAGTACCTATGCATTAACTGTGTGTGCTATTCTAAAAGTAGACTAAGTATATGGCATCCAAAACAAATACACTTAACAAACTAGTTAAATGAAAATGCCTTGAATTTTTCATTTCCGTATACTTCAGGATACAACAATGGGTCAAGGGCATAGGTTTTCAGATTTCAAAACATATATATTATAAACTGCTTTTTAGTTCCTACAAATACCTTTGTAAATAAGCTCATTTTCACATACATATGACCATCTTGAACAAAATGTCTCATTTTTGTCGCGCTTGTTATGAAATTGCCCTCGTAACCTTTGGGATTTTTATTAGCTACGATGCCATCCTTATCCGGTCCAGAAGGAGGCGAAGATGTCAACTCTAATGATATTAAACAGGAAATCGCACGCTTTGAAAGCGTCCATCCCTCTATTTATGCTCTTTATGATCTTATTGAGGCTCTCACTGATCGCCGGCAGGCTGAGATGTTTCGGCGGCAGGTTGCCAGTGTTGAAGGTAAATTGTTTTTCTATAAAATGGTCATTTTCTATAGACGCTTTTGTTAACAGTCAAGAATGGACACTTGGGCATGCCGTCCCACAGATCAAGTTGGTAGGCTCCAATCTTTCGTTTAAGAATTCGTCCCTTAAGGGACTACTTGGTTCAGTTAACAGCGGGAAGTCGGCTTTGGTTCATCGTTACCTTACTGGCACATATTTAAAAGATGAGTCTCCAGAAGGTGGAAGGTTTAAGAAAGAAGTTGTCTTGGATGGAATGAGCTATCTTCTTCTTATACGTGACGAAGGTGGCGCACCTGATGAACAGTTTAGCAGATGGATCGATGGAGCAGTTTTTGTCTTTAGTTTAGATAGTGAAGAGAGCTTCCGGGTCGTGTGCGATTACTTTGAGCGCCTTGATACTTTCAGAGAGATCCATGATCTACCTATTATACTAGTAGGGACTCAAGGTGAGCATCCTTTGTCTAATGTTGACTTTTCATAGACTCGACTTCTGATTCCAATCCTCGTGTTATCGACGATGCAAAGGCGAGACGACTGGCAAATAGTTTGAATAAATGTCCTTACTATGAGACTTGCTCCACCTACGGTCTTAATGTCGAAAGGGTTTTCCAGGATGGTAGTTTCAAGAGATTCCCTTAATTATCCCCATTAAGCCTGCGTGAAGATCGTTCAGTCACGACCTGATTTGAGTTACCTCTTGTCGGTCAACGGTCCTCAATTCCAAAGGAGTCAACAATTTCAAATGTTCCAGCAGCGAGCACAACCACCCTATCCAATGCAGCCCCCATTTCCCCTGCAACACATCCCTTCCAATAGTTATCGTGACAGAATGATGCAACCCATGTCTCAGGTCAGATACTTGCCTCTATCTGATTATGTTTCTGCAAACGCATCTAACCAATGGCCTCTATATTCGAGTAGATTCATTCGGCGACAATGGGAGGCGTTGATCCCAATCTTTCAAACTGCATGAGTACTCAGGCGTCACTCCAGTGCATGCATGCCAACACTACGGCCCGTGGGGGAACCTATCAACATAGATTACCCCCCCTTCCAATGGATAATGTTACGAATGGGAGCATCAATACCAGCGGCAGTGGTAGCGCCCTCACTCCCCAGTCCAACGATTCACGTCGATCTGATATGCACAACAATCCTGGTTTTGAACCAGACTTCGGTGATGTGAGTGCTCTACTACAGTTCTTCTTGCAGTTATCTAGTTAACTTCATCAGAGTTTTCAAATGGAACAGGTGTTAACGCGCGACTTCTTTCCTCTACCTTTCTCTCCTCCCAACTCGTGTTTATGTTGGCAATGCCTGGCATTTTATTTCACTTTGATCAATTTATTTCCTCTGCGTTTTCTCGTATTTTCCTTGTTTGTGAGTAGCTCGCGCAGCACAGCACTATCATTGGCCGCCCATCCTCATTCACACATCCATTCTCCATTGAGGGTGTTGCGCCTGGTACCCTGCCTCGCGCTGACGCCCCTATTGTTCTAGCACCTCTTGACTGCCTCAGATACCCTTATCCACCGCCTCCACCACCGGACATGTACTGGGGTGTCCACCCCTTTGTCATTGCCCCTCCCAACAGCTCTAGCCTGACTCAGTGGTACGCCACCAGTAACCCCTCATTCTCGAACCTCAGAGAGGCCCTCGGCAACGGCAGAATTGACTGTGATAATGATAATGAGTGGCCCAAGCTCAGTCTCGCAGAGCTCACCTCCGTAAGCATACGTGCGTATGGCTCATCCGATCAAAGAAGAAGCGGCAACATATCTTCCCTATCTGCATGTGATTTTTTCAAAGGCATTCCGTCCAGATAGCTTCCCATTAGGACGAATTGGCATGTCGTTTGTACCTACTTTCCGTTCCATACTTTTGTGTGCATGTTGCGTTTTGCTTTTTTCAAAAGCGAAATAGATGTAGATCAGGGAATAAGGTTAATTCTGTTGGGTTGGCTGCATGCACTGCGTTCGGTTGTGGCACTGGTCGTTTCTTGGCATCGTTGCATCATTCCTTATTCTCCAAACATTGAGTGAAACGAACCGACAACCGTTACACCAAGCAGAATCAGTAACAAGTATAGCGAACACTATTTCTTTTTACTGTTTTATGAACACTTGGATTGTTTATGGTGAACGCGGTAGTGGCGCGGTGTTGACGTGTGTCTTGTTTACACTGATCTCTGTGTCCGTTCGCTCAGACCTGTTTCTCGACCGATATGTCCATTAGGTCGGATTGGGTTCTCTATTTGCGGTCACCTGGCGCCGCATTATTTGCAATGTGAATAGGATCTCAGTCTTATCTAGGCTCATTTTTTGGCTTATTGGTGGCCTGTGTGCGCATTATCAGCAATTTGACTGTCTTGTTTCATCATGTGCTAGCCAATTCTGATACTAGTATTCTGCATTACCGTGTGTTTTCAAATCTGATTGCTTAATTTCACCGATTCACCGCTTTCTCCACCTCACAGCTTTGGATTTCCATCGCGTACATGGAAGTGGTCACCGCTCTACTGCATGTAATTTGGTCTTTTGGTGCACGCTTCTTTGTGGAAAGCAATATTGTATTAAGAACCTATGGAAGTGGCTCTTGAGCATTCGTGGTGTCACATCCCATTTTGGTGCAGTGATTGTAAATGAATGCAGGCTTATCAAAGCATAAATACTGGTGATGGCGTTTTTACAATCTCACTTGCCCTGCATTGATTCTGCATCACTTGACCGTAGCGCTTAACCATTATCATCATTTATAAATGCATGGTAAGGGATATTTATACTGATCACTTCCCAAAGGCTTCCTTAATCGGTGAATCATGTGGTGATTCTTCTTTGAAATGCGCTTTCTTGTGTTTATTTCGACTGCATTCATCTTCTCTTAGCTGCGGCGTCGGAGCAAGCGTCAGAAACACAAGAAGTACCTCTGCGTTTCCAAAAGGGTTTGCTCTTTTGCCTTTGTTTGTACGCACGCAGCTTTTCTCACCCTTTTAGTTGACGGAGGGTGCTATGATACCAATTTACAAATTTCTGTGCGGAAAAACAGTTGAGGACCGAAATACAGCCTATTTAGCCTTGACTTTAACCGCTTGATCTTATTACTTAACTTATCCCAACACACACATTGCTGTGGTTGAATTGGCTTTACTTTTCAATTCACTCGTGCATTCACACTGGTGCAATGTGTCGATGACGAGCGAGTTCGGCATATTTTTTTGATATGCGTTTCAAGTTGATAATATTTACCTTTCTCGCGCATCAGGCAGTAGCCAGGTAGTATTTGTGTCTCAACCTTTCAGAAAGCTACTTGACCTTGTTTTGTCGTTAATCGTTTGGCCTTCAAGTCCTCCGGCTTTCAGTTGAATGGCGATTTTTGGGTCGCAAGCTTCCTGAAAAATTTAGATACCGTGATTTACGTCCAGATTGTGCACTAACTTCAAAAAGGCTACATGTCTTAGCTGAGTTATTTTTTTAACAAGGAATGCACGACTTCTTTGTTTTTGTCTGAAAACTCTCCTTTCAAATCGTGCATTCAGGGTGCTTTCAATGATGATTCGGGTCAACGCATTAATAAGTAATATCGCAAAGTAAGCTTATTTTGCCTCTCACTCTCCCTAAGTACATCTGTCAACTTTGCTTCAGTCTGCCATACTTAGTCCATTCGGAGGTTCCCAACGCCTAGTTTTTGTCACCAAACACCTTTGTCTTTATTAAACTTTGAGGGGAATTGCAAGGTTTCCATCTTGAAGTGCATTACAATGTGTTCGTCAGTTTATTGCGGTCACGTAATTGCGTCGGCAAATAGCGAAGGGGGAAGCCTACTGTCGAAAGTTAGATCCGTAAGTTTTTGTAGTTTTCCTGCTTTACCTTTTCGCGTTGGCTGGAAATGGCTTTGCGGTGTCGTATTGTTGTGGATCCTATTCTTACTACCATTTCTTAGCCTTCTCCTCGTCTTTTGGTGACTCCCTGCTGACGTTTTAGTCTTGTATTTCTAACTATTTCACCAAACCATCCATCTGTCTTCCGTTTGATTTTCTGCTTTAAATCACTCCACGTTTTCTAATTTGTGCCGACTTCTGACTACATCGCTTATGCTAGCGATTTCACTCACTTCATCGCCTAAATAAGCTTCGCAAACTATTTTGCAGGCAATAGCATATTGCTGGGAGTATTGTCCATGAGATGCTACGTTTTACTACTCACAAATGGTAATCGAAGTAAATACTCCCCTCTCCCTCTGTGAGACTCTCTGAGCCAATGATTTTTGGGCTTTCGGCTTATGTTGAGCCCTGATTTGTTGAATAGCCCTCTTCCCATCTGTAACCACTACCTGAGTCATCCAACCAGCGGGTAGCCCATATCGCTACTTCAACGCCGTTACCATAATTGAATATAATAATCCCATTAACAAGTTCCTGACATGAATGTTGTTTCTCTTGCCACTTCTCATGTTTATGGTGCGTTAACTTATTTCTGCCTTGTGTGTGTGCTCCTGTTTGCCTTTGTCTATTCCCTTTCCTTCCCGCTTTATCATGTTGGCACTCCTCAGGTTGGAGGTAAACATTCAGTATTTCTATTTGTCGCCGTAGGAACCGCGAGGTGAAGCCAAGGATCCTCTCACTCCTAGTAGTACTCCCACTCAGTCGCGAAAGTCAAGGCCCAAGTCAAACCTTTTTGTACGTCTCTCGATTGTTGTTGCTACCTCTAACAGCCCGTTTGGTATTGCAGAAGAAAACGGATGATGCGAGAGAGAAGGAGAAGAAGGTCGTGGACGGTATCGGGAGTGGCAGATCCATCCCCATTAAACAGGTGTGATTACTTTGTTTTCCTTTCGGCTTGTTCCTGTATTTTCCAAATGCTTTGCTTTTCAGTTTATTGGGTTGGCTATATCAGCGTATTCGATCATTGCGTACTTTCTAGATTCCTTTTCCCATTAATTGAAATTTCACCATATTCTCTCACGCGATTTACTATCAATTTTATTGTAGCCATTGTTGATCTTTGGTCTTTTATTATTATACGTGTGATGAATTAGTAAAATTACTTTGGGTCATTCACCTCATTTATCATTTTGTTTCATAACTGTATGAACTTTAACGGTCATGTCTTACCTCATCCATGCTAGTTTATTGTTTTCTCAAGAACGCTCAATTTAAGCGTGACCTCTGTTCATGTATGCAAGCTTAAATGTGTAGTTCGCATAAAAGAAAGAGGCACGATCTCAATTCCGGTTATCTAAAATTATGGCCTCTTTTTAATCCGCGATATCATTTTTGCCCTGCTTAATGATTTTTGAGAAATGGCCATGAAGTCTAGACTCATTTCCAACTGCGGTGGAAAATCAAGCTTAGTTTCCAAGGTCCAATGCTAACTTAAGAGCATTTAATATTTCCTACAGGGCTATCTGTATAAAAGGACCTGCAAGCCCTTGAACAAGGAGTGGAAGACAAAGAAGTACGTCGCCCTGACAGATGACGCTCGACTTATCTATCATCCTAGTATCCAGGTGAATGCTTTTGTCAGCCATCTGCAGTTTATCCTCCCCTAATCTCTGCTTGTTTCTCTGCCTTGGAGGCGCAGGTGGTTGTCTTTAATGTGCCATTTAGTGTGAAAAATCGCTAGGTCGTTTAGGATTATAAAGGGGGTGAATTTAACTTTGCAGTCACGTTTTCTCTTCCTCACTCCAATTCAGCACTGCTACTGCCATTTCGACGGTGTGCGCGTGCCCGATGACTAATAAATCTTGGCGTACCCGTTTTGGCCATGTACATAAATTTGAGTGTTCGGCGGTGCCCTTGGGTTGCATAAAACACTCCTCCATATGCCACACCCTACAATATACACCAGATTCCAGTTCCTCTTAACTGTGAGCTTCTGACATGGTCTCCCTTAGGATTACGTTCAGAACTCTCATGGGAAGGAGATCGATCTGAGTCGAGTTACAGTGAAAATCCCTGGTGTGACCTTCAGGCAGACCGGTGGCCAGGTATCTTCAAACGGGCCTGCACGCAATCAGCTGACGGAGATGGCTTCAGGTATGCTTTGTTTTCTTCAGGCATTGTTGGCTAAACATCCCTCATGTCTTTATTTCATTATTAATCCATAATCATAGCTCAAGGGGGTGGAGAGGTGAGCTCACTAAGGTCAGAACCTCTATAACACATTCATACTTTAGCCTAACTAAAACCAAGCTGTAAAACTGATAATGAATTTTGGAGAGACTTAGTTTTCTCCAATCGTTCACCTGAGCTGTATATTCTAACATGGGCATGTAACAGGGTGAATGCTGCAGCAAGTGTGCAGCTCATACCCATGACCTCCAAGTCGTGCTCGCATTCACGACTAACTTTCCATCAGTTCCACTCCCATAAACGTTGCCATCGCAGTAACCTTTGTGTCCAATGATGAGTCAAGCATGCGATGTTGGTTAATCATCACCAATCTGGTTCATATTCTCTCTTCAGATAAACTGTCTGCTTCGCTGGAAAACCCCTCCGGTAGTGCCGTCATCGACCAAGCCCAGGTCTCCAATGATAACGTGAATGCCGGTAATATTACACTTTTACTCCATAATGGGGTGTTCGTCATCCTATGTGGTTTTTACAAGTTGATGTTTTTGTAAGAGAGGAAGAGTAGTTGGCTCCTTATTGCACACTGTCTCCAAGTTTGCACATACATTTGTATTCTTAATCAGGATTTTATTATTTTATTCCATCCTCCACCACGCCCAGGCAACCGAATGGCTTCTCAACAGGGTCCAAAAGACACATCAAAAAAGCGCTATCGACGGGTGAAATCGTCACAGAAAGCTGGTACCACCGACGGCTATGGTGCGTTGGTGCTTGTTTACCATTCCAACAGCGTGTGCCTGTTTGTGGGCACATGTGCTTGTTTCTGCTCATGGTTCCATCATCTCTCGATTAAATCAAATTTTCGTCGAGTGTGCATATGTTGCGCTGCCTGGCACATTGCAACATTTTCCAAATGATATCCCCTTTTGATAACGTTGCTTTTCACGTCAGAGGACTCCTTGAGAGATTGTTTCAGTTGTTCTACGTGTAGCGTTGGTGGCGAAGCCTTATTTTTAATCCCTATTGTAATGAGGAAAATTCCGGTGAATGCAAGGTTGCATTACGCACAATATGGCAGACCTTTAAAGTTCGTTGTGGTAATTATGTAGCGCCTTTTGTTGCTGCCGGCATATTGCCTCGCGTAAAGGCATTGGTCGGTAGGTTTGAATGTAGTGACTAGCTTAACCGTACCCACTGCAATAAAACACTCCGTTTTAGAACCTAAAGATCCTTCATACCTTCTTTTCATGTTAGTAGAGCTGTTCAAAATCTGTCCAAGCTTTATTCGTGTTCTGCTCCACACTTTACTGGCGATTCCAAGTAATGTTGTTGCGTTTGTGGCGTTTTAGCGATGCTGCTGACTAATCTGTTGCTAATCTTGCACTCGGTTGATTCCTCTTTCGCAGCGTACTGTAGCCTTTGTAGAAGAACCAGTTTCTTAAATTTTCAACTTTCATCTCATCAACGTTGAATGAACTCACCGTTTGTTGTGACTAACAGTAATTGAGGTTTACCCTTGATTCCACCGTTTTCTGGGTTGTATTTTTTGGAGCAAGTACTCATCCAAGCATTTGCGCATTACACGAAGATTATAGTGCCTTTTTTACTCCAATGGGTTTTAGTAGCTCACAATTTTGAATGTTCATGATCATCTTTCGATCCTGTTATCAATAGAAATATTGATGAATGTATCCTTGCTAAGAAGTACGGAATTCCTTATAATTTACTTCAATTTCTCCTGTTAGAAAATTAGTTGTGATCATCCGTAATTTGGTTGGATGCTTGAAGTATGCAGTCCGTTATTTGCGGGAGCAAGACCTTGATTTGTTTTGCCAATTCTGCAGCAGTATTGCTTTTAACGATGTTCCTCTGTTTATTTTAGACTTAACATGCAAAAAACTAATTATGCATTGCTCAAGCGTGAAAATAGAAAGCTACCCATCAGCATCAACTATGACATATCTTACGGCTTTTTAAAGTTTGGTTATTGGCAAGGCTAGGTTGTGATATTGCGCACCCAAGCCTTCGCAACTTAAATGAAACCTTGCCAGTGTTCTTTTCCTTACCATGGTCAGGGTTTCATTGGATCCTTAGGGAACTATTTTCTTGCTACGAATAAAAGAACTTTTCGTGGAGTTCCGCGTAGATAAATTCTACTATCGGCGGAGGCTTGGAGTTTTGGCTCGTGGGTGGAAGAAAGCTGTATATGCTCACCTGATTTACCTTTGTCATTAAGATTGTGTTCTTTGTATTCTGAATACTCCTTTGCAATAATTGTAAGTGTTTGAAAGTTCTGTACCGTTTTTCTCCCTTTTGTAGTTCAATAGAAAGGTTCTTCTTTAGCGTCGGCTTTATACCCAAATTTTGATCAAATTCATCTTTTCTGCTCAGTACTTACTTATGTGTGTTTTCGAAAGTAACAAGTTGGGTGAAAATTGTCACGCATGACTTTCACAGCCGTCTATGGTATTTTATTTGTGGTAAAGGTCGGGTCACGGGGTGTGTGTGGAATTAATCAGCCACAGTTGAAAAGGGTCTCTCTACCATACCAAACCTTTTCTAATGACGCCTTTTCCTTACTGTGAAATAAACCATTTTTAACTTCAATTTTAAAACGAATAGCAAAAGCTGATCATCAAAGAATGCAGGACCTTAAAAAGCTACTAATTACCACAGATGAGCTGCTTTTCCTACTGACACCTACTCCTCCAATTTTGTTCCTCCCATTCCTCTCCTTCTATCCATTCTTTATGAAAGCTCGTCCCACATTATGAACGCAGGTAATAACATGAGGATGTCAAATATGCGGCCATTGACGAATGTGCATACAAAGGGGACAACCGTTAATACCTCGTTTGACAGTGCTTTTTTTCTTTCTCAGAATCTGAGGGTTATGAGTTTCAATTGATCTCCATGGACCGTCAGTGGAACTTTGAGGCGCATAGCCTAGAGGATCGAGATGACTGGGTGTCTCACATCGATCAGGCTATAATCACTCGCCTTCAGTTGCTCGAGTCGACCAGTAAACGTGAAGCTATTCTTACGGGATCGGCGTCGGGGGTCGCACCACCAAGTCACGCCGGTGTGGAGGTGCCCTCCAACAGTTGGGGTGGTGGCAGCCATTCAGGGCCTGGCGTTGGTGCGGGTGGTGGTGGTGGTGGTAGTGGAACCACCGGCTCAGATCCTGGTGGAGTGACCAAAGAAGGTGAGAAGGGCGAGAACATGCGAGTGGATGAGGCTATGGCTAAGTCACTACGTGCTGTGGCGGGGAATGATGCTTGTGCAGATTGCGGAGCACCTGGTGAGTTTTCAACCCTGAAACTTGGGGCAATTTCCATTGCCTTGAAATTTACGCAAATTCACTACCGCAATTGCATAACAATCGAAAAGTTAGAATCAGGAGATAGTTGTCACTAATGTGTTATAGTTACTTTCCTTTTTTGTATTCGAAATAAAAATTGAAGCGATTAATAGGTTTTTTTCCATTGTAGCTATTTAGTCCGACTTAGCAACGACCTTTTAAAGCTTGTGACCATGACATTTTCGATTCAATTTGTTACCCCTTTGCTTTACATCCTCACGTTAAATTACATTGCAAAAACGCTAATAGCTGAGTGTTTTGGTGGAGGGATTAGGGGCATATGCGATAGCTTTACAATGCGATGGGTCGATTTGCGCGAACTCTGATAGTCCAGTAAATTATGAAGGAGAAAGTAAGTGTGGAGGCGCTTGGAAATATTCCTTCACTGGCAGATTTAGACAGTCTCCCTTATTATTTTTTGTTGTCGCTTTGTAGGTTGTAGTAGTTTACCCCCTTGATCGCATTAAAGGTGTCCTCTTATTGCGATGGTTTCATCATCGCGGAGTCAGTGCTAACTCATTTGAGTGACATGATGCTCATATCAACTTGCACTGCTTAACAGTGGGTTAACTAATGTGTTTGGACGAGTCTTGACCATTGTGTTGCTCATTTTTGCCCTCTGCAAGTGTATGAAATAGAAGCAAGCAGTTTATTGGTCTCTTCACGTCAAGACCGATTCCAACTACCACTGACTTAAAACAATTTGATGGCGTCAGGATAATATGGAATTGAAGCCAACTGTTGATAATTCTCATCCGATAATGGAAGTTGATGTCTGGTGAAAAAGTCTCCTATGCACTTGTGTCTGTATGAGGATTTCACTTTTTAGTTAAGAAATGATCCAGTTACATTAAGTTAATTGATGTCTTAACAAAAAAGAGAAGGCCTATGAGCTGGAACTCATAGGAATCCATGTTAGGAGGACGTTATGACATTCCGATTTCACTCACTGTGTGCATAGGTCCATGCTAGGTTTTGGTTCAGACCGATGCTAGTGGTGGTTATTAGCGTTTTAAGATTCCAACATATACGCTTGTATACCTGTTCATATTTAATAAAGTTGGTAGTGTATTATGCTTTGCGCAGTTAAAAGTAGGCAAGTAAATATATTTTGGAATGTTTACATGTCGGGGCAGGATTTGAACCAGCTATTAGCTCATATAGGTATGCAAGCTAGTTTGTGTGGTGGAGGGCTTGATTCAACTTGCTTTTTAGAAGGGTAAATACATTTTTCAATCCTGTACTCATAATATTAGGCTTACTGTTACATAGCAGTGATTAAATGGCTTAAATGAATGTTAGGAACACCGTGGTTTCGATATGGGCTTCTGTGCGGCCACGAGCCACACGAATGAAGTAGAGGAGTTAATTCGCTGCTATTACTGTCAATGCCGCAGATCCGGACTGGGCAAGCCTGAACCTTGGTGAGATGGTGTGCATTGAGTGCAGTGGGGTGCACCGCAAATTGGGCACGCACATCTCTCGAATTCGCTCCCTCATGCTGGACGACTGGACTCCTGAGGCCGCAGCTGTCATGCGTGCCATTGGAAACACTCTAGCCAACTCCGTCTGGGAGGCTGCAGTGCCCGGTAATGCCGCCAGTCGAAGGTACTTAAGTTGTATTTAAAGTGTGCCTTAAATTTATGTCCATTACTCCTCTTCAACCCATACCTAACCTAATTTGGCCTACGTAAAGGTGGAATTCTCTGCGGTGTTGGACCCACTTAGTGTGTGAGGGCTTTTTGGAACGGCTATAACGCCGTTCGAAGATGATGGTATATTGACCTTCAGTAGTTTTTGGAATGTGTTCCAACTAAGGAATTCATATGTATATAAACAAGGTGAGATTTTTTTCTCATGATAGAATGTGTCAGCATATCAGGTTCGGGAATTAATTTCGACGTCTTTAAATTAATCGCTCGCGTATTTTTGTGTTAGAACTGTCGTATGCCAAAGTGACTTCTGCCTTTCGTCCGCTTCTAACATTTTCCAAATTTATCGTATTGCCTTTGAGCTACAATGCTGAAACTTTTTTTAAATCTCAAGTAGAGAGATTCTCACAATGACCCGCTTGGTTAATTTTAAATGTTTCCAAATGATTGCATAGTGAAAGACTCGTTTCACTTATGCATGGGACGATAGTTCTTCCACTAACAGAATCCATAATATCGAAACACTCACACCGTGGAGGCTCACAGCTCGTCTTCTATATGAATTAGCGCAATTCATGCCTGAGCATTTTCACCTAGTACTGTTTCCAACGTCCCCTCAGCCTCCTCCCATTCGGCTCTGTGCCAGGCCTCAATTCCTAAAGTTTTTTCCTTCAGATCTTGTTACCAGTCTTGCCCTGATGAGAACGATGTTGCAATTTACGATTGTTTTACTGCGGCCACTCATTGCCATGCCAGGCAGTAAGGTGGAGGGGGAGGGTGGATTTGGCATAGTCGCCAAAACTGGTCGATAAAATGATGTGGGCTGGAGAGGAGAGGGTGGAGGAACATTTCAAAAACCACTACTTCAACGCTGGTTGCTAGGCTTATGGATGTTCCTTTTATCTTACCGCAATCATCCTAAGCTTTAACTTGATTAGGCCGTGTCATGGTCGCCAAAGCCATCTCTAGCTTTCCTCGTGGATTTGAGCACGAACATCCCTTAATCACTAGGGCAAGGACATAAATAACCCCTTTTAAAATCGTTACAGTTGGTAGATTGCTAGATTTCTTCAGAATGTATCCTGTTTGCACGAGTGTAGTGCACTAGATAACGTATCAAATAGTCAGGCTTCCCTTTTTGAGACGAGGCTCAAATTACACATTTCCCTCTGGGGCTGATGCCAGCTCCTCTTTACATTGGCGTCAATTTGTTTACGCCACTTTCTTGCATCATTACTTCCCCTCGCTCTCATCATTTATCCTTTCACGTAAACACAACGAACCAATTGTTTGCATTTTACCCAGTTTTCATATTCGTTTTTGGTCGCATTCTCCAAGATGTTTGTGTTTGGAGGAAATCTTTTTTCCTTAGTTCAAATCAGTCCTGTGGTGGCAGGTTTCCTACCGTTCCGTAGGCATCAGATGAAATGTATCGAGTCAATACATAGCTCCCATTACTTCTTCCTTTAAGGCCGTATATTTGGGAATGCATTCCTCCCTGTCTGCGAATGTAAAAGAGCCTTGTTTCCTCTCTGGCTATGTACGCGCAAAACTGATGATTCACTCGTCCTCCTACTCTTCCCATGCACACGCAGGCATGCCGCGATCCGTTGTTTCAGTGGGAGGTCGAGAACCTCCCACTTGTATTTAAAGCCTCTTCGTACTCGGTTTTGGACCCTCTTCTGCAAACAGGAATGAAAATTTTATTTGATTTCCAAATAAGCAGTTCACGCACCTAGTTGGTACCTTCGTGACACTAAAAGTGCCCGCACTTATGACTCGAGTCTATTTGAGCACTCGTAGTTATGACGTTGAAACATTGCTCAATATTGCCTTTGATTTTAACAAAATTGCTTATAACTGCCGTTTGGTTTATTGCTGGAACAAATTTCGCAATTTTCTACTCTTCTACTTCGCTAACTTTTACTGAATTTTCACCGTCTTAGAGGTTGTGTTATTTTCATGTACCATTTCACGTCACTTTAAGGCCTTGTACATAGTAAGGTAACGTTTTAAAGTTCTGATGTTCTCGAGGTTATGGATAAGTAACCTGATAACCAAATGAACTATCTATTGCGTGTGCATGTGGAATTTCACTTACTTACTTCTCTAAAATTGCTTTTCAAAAGTCCTTAGTGCAGTGGAGTTCCTTTTCTAAGGTTTTTTGAGGATAGTGGGATAACTGACTTTAGCAACAATGAGTAAACGTTAGTTAAATAAACTGACTATTCAAAGTGTAAGGAAGACACCTCTTATTTTTCAATCCTTGGAACAAAAGCACGGAACTTCTTTCACAAAGTAAAGAATTCCATTTCGACCCTATTTCCCTGAGTCTCAGAGGCATAGGAATGCTTCATGTGGGTTTTTCGTTCTCGAGATTAGCAGTCCGTGGAGTTGTTTTGGTATTTATTTAGTTAAAAATAATGCGACTTGCCATTTGCCGGGGTAGTGATGAATCCAATGTTGATGATCCTATTCAGTTTCCAAGGTACATTTTTGCGACTAGCTTTTGAAATGGGTTGACTAAGCATCTCTGTAAGAATTAATCAACAATAGCGGGTACACGAAGAACCACTTAAAATATATTGTACGTGTAGTTAACATTGGTCTATTCTCTGCTGGTTCTCTAGGAAGCCAGATTCGCGCAGTTCCAAGGAGGAGATGGAGGCATGGATAAGAGCAAAGTATGAGCATCGTGAGTTCCTACCGCCACTGCCATACCCCGAAGCGCCACTGCAGCAGCAGTTGATCGACGCGATCGCGCGTCAGGACACGCGTCAGGTCATCCTTTGCCTCGCGCGCGCTACCCCCGACACCGTCAATGCCCCTTACTCACGACAGGATCCCCGTGCTGCCATTCACATCGCTGCTACTCTTGGCAACATTGTATACCTTCAACTCCTTCTCTGGGTAAGCTGCTCCGCCTTGCCTACTGAATTAGGCGGGTAATGCTAAAAGAGAGCCACTCATTTTAGTTAAACTGAATTATAGGATTATTTTGCCTCTATTCTCAATCTCATTTCCTCTAAATGAGGTCTTGGGTATTGTTTGCATTTATAATACCGGAACGCTTGACTAAACATTCGTATGAGTGAAAAGTTATTCTAATGTCCGCAGATACCCCTTCCTAAATGATATTTTTCCTTTGAGTTTTGGCACATATATGTTATTTTTTGAAGAGTTGCTCAAATTTAAAAGTGAGTGTCTCCCTACTAGTTCGTTAGGGACAAGGTGTTTCTGTGTGAAAATCTTCGAACATCTACTTCCTTATAGATTAATATTGCCGTTAAATCAGTCCCTGTCCTATCAAGACTCTTATAATTGCGTCCCAATTTGAAATGTAGGTTTCTTGAGAATTTTGTGGAAGTCATTCCACTTTATATTCCCATGTATGTCATCTCATATTACGATACTACGACTTTTGCGTAATTGGCATTCTAATGCTCTTGTAATGGCGTATGCATGAAACCTGTATGGCCATTTACTTGGTGCTGTGTAGTACAATGGTGATCCAGGAGTGGTGGACTCGGAAGGTCGAAACGCTTTTTACTACGCGCATTGTTCCTACCACTTTGACTGCGCCAACTTCCTCGCTCGTAATGGTTGCCCCCGTCAGGCCGTGCCCACACCCGCTCTTTCTCACTTCGCTACCGTGCAGCAGCAGCCACAGCAGCACCACCATCAACAGCAACAGCAGCAGGTCAAGTCCCCACCACCGCCGTCCCAATCGCAGGGTGCGAACTCCATTACTCCTAAGCACCATCCACAGCAACATGCCGCCTACCAACAACAACAACAACAACAAGCGCTGAGCTATCGGAGTTCAGGAGTTGCTGTAAGCCCGGGAATGCCACCTCCCACCCCACAGGGTGTTATGACAGGTGGATTCGCCCCTGGTAAGCATCAATGGTGTTAGTCAAATAGACAAAAATGGTTGTTATAATCAGCTGCTATGAATTAATAGAAGTAGGCTCTTCAAACTTTTATGTACTTAACCAAGCTACTTGAGACGAGGAGAATTTTTCTCGTTTACCCCGTTTCTGAACTCTTAGGCTGGTATAGGACTGATCTGCATGGTCGTTGATAGGACCTCAGAACTTTTTGCTCTCATGTCTTGTTGACCGCCTTTAGTCATCGTTAAGTAGTCAGTGGGACCCTAACTACAGATCTGTTAGTGGTAGGAGGAAATATTGATGCACTGTAGACTTTAAGTTTTCGTTCTCTACTTTTCTTTTGGATAACATTCCTCTATTTCCTTGCTTCAGAAATACATTGTAATGGTAAATAACAGTTCTTGCATCATTGACGCAAAACTTATTCTTTTTAGCATGATTATACGACTTTAGTGTTTGTAAACGATAAATTAAACCTTTTTTTGTTACATCTGACAACTTTTTTGACCGCACTAGTAACTACTTATAGCTATGTGAAGTTAAGACAGCTTACCTGTTGCTAAGGTATTTATTCGGTTAAGTATGAGCAGTCTAAGTGTTAAAACTAGTTATGGTGCTTCGTTCCTCTGTTTTTCTTTTCTGAGGTGCTTTATGCTTCAACTGTGCTGATCTATAACCTTTTTCTATTCTGATTCGCGACTTTTAGAATCCACACTTGTCAGGCATATTATACGCGTAATAATACGCCTGCGCCACCTTCATTGTCCAACTTTTTTCACCTAGAAGGCGTTAGTGGTTTCTGTCTCCGACTTTCTTGTCGGTTTATTCGTGTGCTTCCAAAACGTCATAGTTCAAGTGACAAGTCCAATCCCTCGCTCACACCATTAAAGTGGTGGTAGTCAGTAGAAACGACCCTACTGGTGGTCCTTATTGCCAAATTTTAATTGCTAGGACTAGTTTTCATAGCCCTGCAGCATAATTTTGGCGGCAGGTAGGAAAGGCGAGTAAAAGGTGGAATGTTTTCTTAGCGTTTACTTAGACACCGTTATTAACTTATGTACAAGCCTATTGCGGAACTTTGTTATTATTCCCCTCACATTTTGTTCATCCCTCCGCAGTGTTCATGCACAACATAATGCCTGTGTCGTCAGCCAATGCGTTGCACGGAACAATGGGTGGTAGCAGTAGCGGACTTGGTCCGGCTACAGTGGTAGCGGGTGCGACCCTACCGCGTCGTAGAGGTCCATTTGGTCCTGGTCAAAGCTGCTATCTTCCCGCGCAGCCACCACCTGCAGCGGTGGCCAACAGCATGGCTAACCGACCACTCCCTGTAGCAGGAGCCTTTGATCCCAACACTGGACGCCCCCTCGTTCCCTCCTCTTCAATGCCTGTACCTGCATCTTCAAAACCCGGAGATAACAGTAGTCAGGAGATCGGCATCTAGTTGCTTCCCTTCTCTTCACTTCCCCTCGCCTGCCTCATTTTTTGTTCTCTCTTCAATCGACTGCTTGTCGGCGCATTTAACAAATCAGCCAATTGCCGGCACGCTATACGCATATACATACGAACGCATTTTACTAAAAACATGTACAGTTTTTTTTTCCGAAGACCGTAGCGCGTGTTTTTCATTGCGATACTTCTCACTATTCCTCTAGTCTGTTTCACTCTCGTCTTGAACGGCTCCTTACGATCGACGATGGAGGTGAGCTGAATGTGCGTGTCTCCGCCCAAAACAATTTCCATTTTCTTGTGTGTATGCTTGTGTGATCATGAATATATACGCAGGAGATTGCCCACCTCCTCACAGCGCTAGAGGTACTCATTTTATTAGGATTTCTAGGGATTGTATTCTTAAGTGGTGGCCTTTGAGAACTTCGCTCTATCCCACAGCTCGTCTGAGATATCAAAGCCGTGGGACACGAAATCGAGTTGCATATAATGCAGTAGGTATGATGTTTTGGCGGATGGGACGCGTGTAGCAAACCAGGGACTTGAATCACAATAAAAGTTGTCGGTATTTATCCAAGTTGCGAGTCAACGCGGCAGGTGGAAACCTGTATTCTAATTTCATCTCTTAAAATATGCACAATCTGTGCAGTAATACAAGAGAAAGATCTATAAACTCCACTATAGTGCTAAAGAACCACATAATGGTGGATTTTCAATGCCGCACTTATAAAATTTGGGTCAAGTCGTTATACCCAGGAGTTGAAGAGTGGTACGATGTATGCTTCAGTGCACAGTCGGCTGAACCACAACGTTTTGTTAAGCAACGTTGAAAAGTGTTTCAAATAAAACCTATAAAGCGATGCACTACTTAGTTATCAGAGGAGATGCTTAATGCCACAAGAATTAAATCAAGCGAAAATAACATTTATGAAAATGATATTTAAACACTAGACACGAGTTTATAAATTGTTCATTTTGCTGCCAAGAATTAACGTGCGTATAATATTGCATGCTTAACCTGTTTACTTTTTGTAATTGTTATAGGGCTTTCATTTGTCGAAATAAACATACTCGACACTGATGTGATTGGATATATTGGCGTTGCGAACTTTCAAACACTTGCTTTTGAGTGTCTTGTCGTCAGCCGCGTTTTACTCCCGTGTAGGTCCTGTCTTTAGCTAGATAAACTTTAAACCTGCAAGTGGTTGTGTTCAAAATTCGTATGAGCGTTGTTTCAGAGTATTACTTGTGCCTGTACACATCCATGAAATATTTTGCTCACAGTTCTCAGCTCCATGCATGCTGGAATTTGTTCTACACATTTTGTGTTGAACTACGACTAGCGCACGTTTACCGTGTAAAGTAACTCGGTTCGCGTTGAAGCGAGTGGGTAGATGTTGTCTACAGCATCAAAATTTACCTGCTTGTGGCAACCTATCTAGGCGAAGTCGATAATGGTGAAAAATCCCATGTTAAATTCGATTTATTTTTGCGAAACTAATGCGCTAAAATTCTGCTGAATGTAAATTGTATAGATGAATTATGACCTTCCGTGCTCTACATTACGTTTTTAAAATCCCAAACCGGTGTGAGGCGATTAAGTTTTACAAGAATGTCCTTGGAATGAAAGTTCTCCGACATGAAGAATTTGTCGAGGGCTGTAAGGCTGCCTGCAATGGGTACGTTGGTGTCATGATTTTAACCTGTCTCGTCTTATTCAGCCCTTATGATGGAAAATGGAGCAAAACGATGATTGGTTATGGACCAGAAGATGATCATTTTGTTCTTGAGCTGACCTATAATTACGGGATTGGCAGCTACTGCCATGGCAACGATTTTATAGGTATCCATATCCACTGCTCCGAAATCTATAGACGGATTGCATGTGACTCCACTTTGCCCAAAGTAAAACATGAGGAATTCCTTGAAGTTATTGATCCAGCCGGTTACCGCTTCTTCATCCATAATGAGAAGGCCGGCCTACAGGATCCTGTGAGGAAGCTTGAACTTGCTTCTTCTGATATTCGTCGGTCGATTGGTGAATAATTGCCGTGTTCATTCTAGTGCTGATTTTAGATTACTGGTCAAAAATGTGCGGTATGAAGCTGCTGGAGTCCTCAGACGATAATGCGCTTTTTACCTACAAGGAAGGACAGTGCCAATTACAGTTGACACTCTCTAAACACCCAATCGATCGTGGCCAAGCCTATGGCAGAGTTGCATTTTCGTGTCCTAGAAACCAAGTGAGCCGGTTCATCACTGGCTTAATTATTTCAAAGTGCTCCCTTACTATAAATACATAGTTTAAGGGAATTATCTTTAGTCCTAACTTTCCTTTTGTTAGTTTTCTTGAATGTCTTTTGAGATCCTAATTTTAGCTTGCACTCCTGCAAGAAACGATGGACAAGGAAAAAGAAACAATTCTCACGAGACTGGTTAGCTTGGATACTCCCGGGAAGGCTACAGTTGAGGTCGTAATCCTTGCCGATCCTGTAAGTTATCAGTTTAAATGAATTTTTTAAGTTAAACTAAAAGTCCTAGTTGATTTATATCACGTTGGAGTGGTGAATCTTTTTTGCATTTTAAATATTTAAGCACCTCGCTTGGGGGTAGCCTCATTCGCCGAAGCGGTTATACATCCTGCTCTAAATTTGACGGAACTTACTTATTCACTCTCAGCTGAAGATGGTAAAAGCGTTGCGCTACTGCACAGCACAATAGGTTCCCAATCCTCATTGGCATGCCTTCAGCTCACCTATACACACAAAGCACTGTTCGTTTCTTTGCTATCTACTGCTAGTATGCGATTACGTTCCGCGTGTGAGGACTTACTAGTCACTGCAGATCTACGTATGACACCATGGAACGAAGCGTTTTTCCTATCACACCCTAGTCTAAATTTGTACACCTTGACCATTGAGCATGTTTCATTCAGGCACGTTAAGTGTGTGTGCGTGCGCCTAACTCCGTACTTACCGCTTTGTGGAATGGAACCAAAGTAATTGCCGTTGCAATCGCCACAATTGATCTAAATATTTAAGCCTTTAGGACCATAGTTCCGAATAAGCATATTTTTCGTGGTTTGCTTTCGGCAAAAAGGGGGAGGTATTATCCATTCTACACTGTTCGTTGAATCTCTTTTAGTGACCAACGGACCACCACAAACACCCTGGACAAAAGTGCATTTGGGATTTGATGTGCACCGCTGTTTACTTTTCAGGACGGTCATGAGATCTGCTTCGTGGGCGACGAGGCCTTTCGCAGCCTCTCACAGGTAGACCCCAAGGCCGATGAACTATTAGCGTCTGCAATGGCTGAGGACCACAGCGACTCTTGGTTCCAAAAACGTGGTGGTAAAAAAGCGCAGTAACCGACCCTCTGTTCTCACTTTACATTACGCATCCATTCCAATGATGTGATTTTTACATTGTTTGAATTGAATAGCCTTCATACATCATATTGTCTCGTATAGGCTGATGGAATTATGCTTATGCACAAAACTAATGTCAGAAGACCGACCTATAAAATCAGCTTTACCACTTATTACAAATTGTATGCTAATGGCTTCCGGGTCCTCCTAAATGTAAGAAAGTAGGTGATGTGAATAAGTTGATCATCATTCCTAGCGACAATACAGAGTTCGCATTTACGGAAAAGACACGTAATTTGGCAATAATTTGTAAAGATATGAAAGCTGGTGTTGGAAGAGGAGTCATTGCAAAAGCGTCGGTTTCTATGCACAAAACACTAGATATTTAGTGTAGACAAGCAATTAAGGGTTTGCCAAGACCATATTACGTTAAAAGACACCAGCATAGAGACGACACGTGTCTCAGCATATCACAAACCTATTCACAAGAGTTAGGAAAGAGCCAGAAGCATTGATAATACCCTCAATTCCGTTCTAGCATGCTTTGTTAGCAAACTGCCTTAGTCCCACAAAACCAATACACAGTTGCGGCGCTCCGTGAACGAACACAGAAGTCCAAAAGGCAACAGTCAGTACGACACGAAGAACAAATAATGTGGGGTCACAAATCCTAGCTCCCAAACTACAGGAATCAGAGGTGCTTTCTAGTTAACCTTCGTTTTGCTAGCAAGAATTATCGCATATTCTCGGTAGTTTATTCCGTTTTTCTGCACGTCGATTGCGGAAGCAAGCATTTCATCCATTTCATCTCGGGTAAATTTTTCGCCTAATGAATATCAACGCATGCTAAAGATAACACCTTCTTTCATCAAATGCTCTTCAAGAACGTCTGGATCAATTATTCCGGTCTTCTCAGGATCAAAAACCTGAAAAGCTTTAACGATTTCCTCCTCTGGAAAAATCGGGTACCTCGAAAAATAAGCTATTTCAGTACTCACGTCTTGTCAATCAAAATTTGTCCTATCACAGGTAAGAAGACTTCATAGTTTATGTAGCCATTAGGAGGGGAGTTTTCCAGCTCAAAGTGTAACAAACACAAATATTAATACCTTTGCAGTGAGCTCAAGTAAATCGGCTTCTGAAGGGCACATTCCAAGACTACGAACTATGGTACCGAGCTCACGAGAATCCACTGTTTTATTGCGCTCATGATCGAAAAGATCAAAAGCCTCAAATATTTTGGCTTCAATATTTTCAAATTCTTAGAAAACATTACCACTTAAAGTGAGACGTACCAGAATCGACCATGGCAGAAATCTCGTGCTATGGTGACAGTTACTCCTACCTCCGAATGATATAAACAATTATATTGCCCTAAATGGGAATCAGGCCATAAAGTCGAAATTTTACTCAAGCAAAAATTAACGGCTTGAGGTCGACGCTACTGCCGTGACATCGCGTCAGTTCTTCTAATTTTGAATGTAGCGAAAATTAATGATAACAATCATTTGTGAATGTTCTTAGAATCCATAACTCTTGTGCTCTAAGGCATCCCCATTTTTACTGCTTAAGTAGGTTAAATAGTCCTCAAAAATCTTTATATTGAGTGGCTAATCGATAGCTGCTACCGCCTTGTTAGCTTTAACGTGACGGCTCTGCATTCTTTTGTGTGTTCATTTCGGAGCGTCTTGTGCTCTTTTTATCGGTGCTGCACTCTGGTGCGATATTTTGGTTCTAATGTGAGCTGTTTTTAGTTACAGGTGGGGTGTGGCTTGCTTTTCTCTTTACATTATCCCTAAACAAGTACCTATTGTAATTCTTGTTAGACCGAGTTTTGGATGTTTTCTCATGACACAATACCTTTCTTGAACAATTATGAGTGTAAAATCACAAATATAATTGTCTAGATTGTTCTTGACCTGCGCTTTTACCGATAAAGTCGCAATTGAAATCATGTTTATTGATATTCATGGGCTCTTGGTTTCTGATCTTTTCCCGTCTTGTTAGCTACACAGAAGTAATCAAGTGTTTGTTTGTCTGGTTTAAAAATGTGCTGTAGAATCATTCATTGCACCTTCATATCTAAATATTTCTACTTTCTAGACCAGAACAGATCGTCATGGTAAATGAGATTCTTCCATGGCCTGCACCAACTTCGCTAGTGGGATTTCTGCTTGGCATTATTTCTCTTTTTGTCATTGACTTCATTCTTTTGATTTACACTCGATTCTTTAGTATTCCCTCTCTAATCCTGCTCTTTGCTTCCTTTGTTTCCTTGCTTTTCCTCATCTCTCATGCAATTCTGCCTCGCACAGTTGAATTCTTCTCTCCTTACGCAACTCGAGGTCGAGATCTCGATCCCAAAGGGTATCGTCCGAATCTTGTCATTGCCTTCTGTCTTGGTGGCGTCTTCTTGTTCGGTCTTATTCTTAGCTTTCATGCCTTTGAGGAGCTCTCCAACTCCCGTATCGTATGGCCTTTCGGTGTTTATCTTTCTTTACTTGCTTTCTTCCACTGGTCTGAATTTTTCGTTGCCGCTCTGACCAATCCTTCGAGGACCGGTGTCGACCTTTATCTGTTAGATCACAGTCCCGAATACCTAGGTGCAATGGCCCTCAGTTTCATCGAGTATTGGTCGGAGGTTTTATTTTGGCCTTCCAAAACTACCTCCTATCTCTGGCTCAATCTCACTGGACTTCTAATTTGCGTGGCAGGCGAGGCTTTTCGCAAGATGGCCATGTGGACGGCGGCGGATAACTTCTCACACTACATCGAACACACATGGCGACGTGAGCATCGTCTGGTTAGAAAGGGCGTATATGCCTTGTGTAGACATCCCGCCTATGTAGGCTGGTTCTTCTGGAGTCTTGGCACCCAACTCCTCTTGGTCAATCCTCTCTGCTCTTTTATCTACCCCTTGGCCGCATACCTCTTCTTTCGTAACAGAGTTTACTTCGAGGAACGCAGTTTGGTGGCATTTTTTGGTGACGCTTATCGCTCTTATCAGCATGAAGTTCCTACCGGTCTGCCTTTCATTCGCGGTTATGTTGAATTGACTGTCCGCGCCAGCACTCGTTAATGTGCTCCTTTTTATTTACGATCTTTTTTTAATGCCTAGTAAATTTATGCCCAGAGGCACTTCGCGACTTCTGTCTTGTTTGGTTATTCCTGTGTGCTTCTTCGTCACCTTGATTTCTAAATACGTTATCTGACCAACAATTAGAGATAATCTTCCGAACGCTTTTTAACTGGGTTCTAGTTGGGTTTTTTATGTGTAACTGCCTGACATTCTTTCTACTGAGACTTTACTGATATTGGAGGCGGGTCCTCTGCACTATGATCATCATGGTAATTATTTATCCTTTTTCGTGTAGTCTATGAAATTTTGATGTACATTTTAGGCGGTGACATTACACACAGATTTGGGTGATATCAAAATTGAGCTGTTCTGCATGCAAGCACCCCTTGCTTGTGAGGTGAGTCATTAGGGTCTCTTTTTGTCCCTATCAATCAGACCATATCTTATCCCCTCCCCAACTACGTCCCATCCTCCTTGATGAATCTCAGCACTTATTTGGAGTGTGCACGTCGGTGTATCTGCCTCACTGTCGCACCAGCCTCTTTGTCCCGTGTGCTGGCACTCTTTCAGGAGGCGTCAGCCAACCTCGAACATGCCTACTATTGGGAAAAAGATATGGGTCTTCTCCTTCTCCAGTCACGCTCTTGTGTCGCTCTGCGCAAAGCCATGAGCCAAATTCGTGTTATTCCTCGTGCCTATCTCCCAATTCCTTCAACAACTGTTAGTATCGAGCGTTTCAACCTACCCCTTTACCGAGTCTGTTCTGATCCCTCCATTTGGCCTGTATCATCCACTCCCGAAAAGTATGATGAGACTTTAGTTCAGCTCCAACAAGGTCCGCTTTCAACTTCTGCACTGGAAAAGCTCCTCCTTCAACAAGTCTCCGTTCTAGATCAAATGCAAAAGCTAGTTGATTGTACAAATCTCTCTCATCCTTTTCGGCTTGCTCTCTTCACTTTCTCGGATAGTCTCTCCGAAGTTCTTGACTCAATTAAACCTGGATCCTCTGTATATCCCTTCGGCTCGTCCATTAATGGCCTTGGCTCAAACTCTAGCGACTTGGATGCAATTATAAACCTAGGTTTTGATGTACCTCCTAGGTTACGCCCATTTGCTCAAATTTGTTCAAAATCATTTCCTGACTTAAAACAGCATCCTCCTGGCCAATCTATAATGCAGGAGCTGTTAAACTATAATGGTGAGACCAACCGCCACATACTAACATCTGTGCGGCGCCTCCTCAAACGTCTCGATCCCTTGAGTGGCTCCGACTCGCGGGTGTTACCTGGTCGTACTCCCATCATCAACTACGCACGTCACAAATGCCTTCGGGTAGGTGTGGACATTTCTCACAGTTTTGGCAACTTTAATACCACGCGGCTAGTGCTGCATGCCGCCTATTGGATGCGTGCACTGGTTACCCAAGTGCCCGTCTTCCTCTATCTCGCTAGTGCTCTCAAGTTTCTCATGCGCGGTGCTCATATCACTCACCATGGGCCATCATTTGGCTTCACCAATTACAAGTTGATCGCTCTGCTAATTTCTTTCCTCCAAGTAGCTGTGAGGCAGGCACCAGCTTTGGAGTACCTCCTCCTTCAGGATGAGTTCTCTATCCCTGAACGGATTTTTATTTCCCTCGAGGAGTATCCTCGCTGTCCTGTTGAGGCGCCAGATTTGTTGCTTGAGTTTTTCACCTTCATTCGAACTCAAAAACCCGAAAAAAGCTCTTTTTGTCTTCGATCTGGTCGAATTTTACCCCGTGAGGAACAAATGAACCAAGGTCACTTCTTACACTGCCCCAACCCCCTTGTGCCCGAACGGAACATTACTCATGGTATTGGATCCGAGGCATGGCGTGAGTTTTTGGACGTTATCGATCACATGGAATACGTATTGCGGCGACCTCGGCCTCAATCCGGTATCTGGGGTCTTCCCGCCATGACGAAAAACATTGTCCATATGGAAGCTTTTTCCCGTCCCGAACTCTCTCAAGCGAACCACAAATAGTAATCCCTCTTCCCCCTTCGCTGTGAAGCTTCGGAAGCTATAATTCAGTTCAATCTCACACATTTTTTGTCTTTTTCGTGCGGTGTTAGAATTTCCTCGCCCTCTGTGCCTCTGACTACTACAAGGGGTGTATTTTTCATAGGAATATTAAGGGTTTTATAGTTCAAACAGGCGATCCAACAGGTAGGTGGCAAGCGCGTTTTCCTGCTTTTTACCACTGATCTCCAGGCACCGGAAAAAATGGTCAGAGCATCTGGAAGCAGAAGTTTAAGGACGAGTTTGACGACTCACTTAAGGTTCGAATTCTTATTTGACATCCTTTTTTCTAGCACAACACAAGAGGTATTGTCTCTATGGCCAACAATGGACCGGATTCCAATGGATCACAGTTTTTCATTACTTATAGCAAACAGACCATGCTAGACATGAAATATTCAGTATTTGGCAAGTGAGTTTCGTCCATTTAACATTTTTATGCTCAAGGCTTTCATTTACAAAGTACGTCTTCTTTTGATGCAGGGTGATTGATGGTTGGGATGTTCTAGATGAATTGGAACGTGCACCTGTAGAAGATAAGACGTACAAACCCCTCACTGATATTCACATTCAAGACATCACGATTCACGCCAACCCATTCGCTGAGTAACTGTGTCTTCTTCAATGTGACTTTTTGTATATTAATAAAATTAACCAATGCTTGATTTTTGATTCTTTCGAATGATTGATGTGGTAGAATTGAGAAGTGATTGTTTTTTTTCTCTCGTTTCCTGTAGGTCAGTGTGGCTGAGATTTGATTGGTGAAGGTTTGAAAGGATAAGAATGGGATCCGAATGCCTTGTTCTGGGTCTCTTCGGTCAAATTGTGATCGGTCCACCGGGCAGTGGTAAATCGACCTACTGTGCTGCAATGCAAGAATTTCTCACAGAACTGGGCAAGTGGACTGTTCCCATTTATGTTTTACTATTTTGTCTCGAATCTTTGGTGTGCCGCGTTATCATTATCGGGTATCGAATAATGCTCAACTGTTAAGCTGTGTTCGTATAATATGTGGACCACTAAATGCATCACCGTTTGTATGCTACCATGGTATTGGTTTGATGGCTTTCTCTGGATCTCTTTCTTTCTCAAAACTCATGCTTTTCGCTTATTGCATGCTTGATGAAAGGAAATTCAACTCTATCTGTGCAATAAATTGTTCCACTCTGTCTGGATGGTGCCTCAGTTTTCATTTTGCGTGATTGGAACCGTCCTAGATTTCCCTTAACATATGGATTTGCTAAAGAATAATGCGTTGATACTACATAAGAGAAAGTGTGAGACCGGTTTTCTGTTCGTGCTTTAGTGGAAGAGGGAGGAGTTTTATTTTTTTTCGTTTCCAGCCTGATTCTTTCTACCGATTTTAATACTTGCATCGCTGTTTGATTTCGCCACTGTCTCTTGGACATTCATTGGCGCCGTGCATTTTATTGCAATGCTTCTCTCTTGTTAGCTCTGTGAATGCCATTTTATGGGGATTTGTTAATAGAAGAATTGGATGTGTTTTTGAATCCCGTTTACTGTACAACTTTGGGACAACAATTCTTGCAGAACAAATCTTCCAATCCCTTAAGGATTAAGGAACGTTTTTATTTTTTCCGTTGAATGTATGTTTAACTTGTGTTACTTCCGCTTGTTAAATATCCTGTTCCCCTTAATGTTTTTAATGACAAATGCATTTTTTGTACGCGGATTTTCGAATTTGCATTTAATCATCGTTCTTATTCTCCGCGTTTATTAGGCCTAAACGTTCACAGGATGACGTTACTTTGTTATTTTGAACTTTGAATATTTGTCATTCAAAGAGACCAGTTAATGGTGCTGCAGAGGGACTTTCCGGTGGAAATAGAATCCTGCATTGTTTGCTATAGAAGTGCATCCTTGTTTACTCTTAAAATTTGCTAATATGTGAATTTAGGCCGTAGAGTGGTGGTTGTGAATCTTGATCCCGCCAATGAGGAGTTACCATACAGCTGTGAGGTGGATTTGCGCGACCTCATCACTTTGGATGATGTGATGGAGGCGCTGCAATTGGGTCCAAATGGTGGACTTCTCTACTGCATGGAGTATCTTTATGCTAATCGCCAGTGGCTCGCTGACCGCCTGCGTCTTTTCAGGCAGCAGTCGGCCAAGACATACCTCATCTTCGACTGTCCCGGTCAAGTGAGTGGCTTTAGTCATTATACTTTCTCTTAAGTTGCAGCTTTAGTCCCATCGTCCGCAAACCTTTAAGGACATAGTTTTCATCCGATTTCTCGTCAGTGACCAATGAATAGGAAATTTGTTCTTTCATTCTTGTCCTCCCGTTTATTTAGTAGTGGGACACGTACATTGATGTCGGTCGTTTTCTTGAATTTTATCGTGGGATTCGGATTTTTTTAAACTTTCGGTGTTTGCAGTTAGTACTCCAATAGCTTATGCACTAAGATGTCCTTGTTGGTAATACGTTATGACTTCACTCTGTACTCATTTAATCGTTAATTAAAGTCCCATCCATCCTTTCCTCATTTCCCTTCCCTTCGCTGTCCTATTTCTGAATCAGTTTATGTCTCGTTGCAGGTGGAGTTGTATTGCAATAACACGGCCTTCCGCAAGCTTATCACTTTCCTCACTTACTCATCCTCTGCATCGAATGGCAGCCCCTCGGAACCTGCTGCGGGATTAGGCCTACGGTTGGCTGTAGTGCACCTAGTAGATTCACACTACTGTACCGATGCGGGTAAATTCATCTCGGTGCTCCTCACTTCCCTGGTATCCATGCTACAGCTCTCCCTACCTCATGTTAACGTGTTGAGCAAAATCGACCTTGTTGAGCTCTACGGACGACTTCCTTTCAATCTGGATTTCTTTGCTGAGGTCCTGAATCTCTCTCACCTCGTTGAACAGTTAGAGGTAAGGTGCTGTCCTAATTGCCCATTCTCTAGTTAGCACTGGTTACTAAGGTAACAAAAGTAGGCCACTCAATAAGTCGCTTTGAGCGTAACAAAGTAAGACTAGCTTTCTATTCCGTTTCTGTTGTCTTAGGCGTTGTATATTTGAGTTGCTGTTGCGTCGATCACCTGTTGGTCCCACGTATTTGTACAAGTACCTTTATTTCTCCATTATTAACGTCTCCTGTGAGGCATCTCACAGAGTTTACATTACCAGCAAAAATGTCTGATGCATCAGACTGATTGGTGTTGTTTCCGTTTTCAATTTCGTACATCGTTTAATAGTGTTCAACTACTCCCAGTGAATAGTTGTTTGAAACGATCGTGGGCGAATTTCTTAGGATTGAAATTTATATTTAGACTGCATTTGTACGTTTTCTTAAACAGTTTCAGATGCTTTCGACTCGCTTCAAAATATATTCTTTTTAAAATAAGTGGGTCTACTTTTTGTGCATCGAATAAGTTAAGGACTTCATGTTCGTTCTTAATTGAAACGTTTACCTTTTACACTTTCAAAATCGGTCGTTGTTTGTTTTTCAACCAGGATGATTTGTTCTTTGCAAAATACAAAAGGATGAATCAAGCCCTGGCTGACCTTGTGCAGGACAGGTCTCTTATCACCTTCCAGCTTTTGAACGTCCAGGTGAGCTGGTTTTCTCTCGACATAATTTGTCCCATAGGATCTCTTTTCCCTGAACAGAAGTCCTGCTTTCACTCAAATGCTTTATTGTTCCTATTGATAGACTAAGAGACCAAGGGGTTTCTTGCGACTCCAAAATGCGCCCTTTGTGTAATGTGTTGCTTGCTTGACTACTGGTTTCAGTTATAGACACTTGAATGGCCATCTAGCACTGTTCGCGTGGGTTGACTTCTGGATCACCAGTTTGGGAAAGCCCTTAATGGGGACAAGGAACTTCTACTGGTCGCCATCCATGTCTATTGTTATAATTTGGAACCTCAATCTAACAGCAGATTAGCAATGTAGGAAGGGGGTTCCAGATCCAGCGCAATCTCGTTAGAATAGCTGTTGGTATATTGTTACACAGCCGAAGTCGTTATGCAGGCATCCCAAGGAGACTCGGAAATGAAACTGATCCTAGGGGTCGGTGGCTAGTGCCGCTTTGTTGATAGCTTTCTTGTAGAACACAAGAATGAGATGGATCAGATCTTCAATCCTTTCGTGCACTACCGAGAGATTAGGTACTTTTGCCATTTAATTTATGTTTCCTCCGGTGTTTGTTTGTCGTGTCGGCTTTTTAGCATTGGCGCATTAACTTTAGGATTCCTTCTCTTTGTGTGAGAACTCTTTGGTATATGTTTTCTTAAAAGTTATCTTTCACTTGGACATATCAATTCATGGAGCTGTTACATTTTGAGATGAGGTTTAAATACAGTTGGTTTGGTGGTGATTGTAGGATCGGGCACTGCTCCAGCGGGTGCTACAGTGTTCAGACAAGGCAAATGGTTATGTTTTTGGTGGTGAAGAACAGCATTCGCTGCAGGCGTTACTCTCCTGTGCTGCCGGTATTGAATTCGCCGGTGATCTCGTTTGCATGGCTCAAGAACGCTACACCTCCCGACCTCTTCCAAAGGATTGATTACACTTCGCCTGAATAATTATTTCTAACCCTTTCTCGCCTCCTTTTCATTTCGATTGAAGAGGTTAATGGTATTGAGTGGGGTGTTAGGGGTGTTCTGTCTCTGGCCGCGTTTTTTGTGGTGCATTTGCTTGTATTTGTGCATGGGGTTGCACTGCAATCCCGTCAGAGGACGTGGTCGTTTGGTTGGGTCAGACTCTCGGGTTGTGATTTTCTCAGTTTCTCCCGAGGCTCAAGGGTATGGCATTGTTTACAGATCCAAAAATAAAGGAGTAAGATTTAATGTATGTCAGTGTGTTTGAGTTTGCCTTTATAGGGTAGAGGCGAGAAGTCAATTCGAGCACGAGTTAAGTGCGTGAGGAGCGTGATGATTTCTGTTAGGGTGCCATCGGCTTTCGGCCTCATAAATCCTTCTCATTTCATTTATTTCTGTGCATGATAGTGAATGAAGCTTCTCCAACTGATCCTCTTTTGGAGTTCGAGATTCGAACATGTGGAGGTAGGTAGGCATTAGGCCGGAGATCTCGAGTGTGTAGTGAACGTCGTGTGACACCTTATTTTAAATATCACAAAATTACTCTTAAGAGAATTTTGAGTTCTAAATTTATGCTTGTTTAGACAATCGTGACGCGCAATATCGTAGGATAACTTTGAATATCCCTTTTGTTTAAGCTGGTCTGATAACCAGCGGCAGAGTTGATCCGATTGGAGTTTTGCGAGGTCTTAGTTGTCGTTATCATGGCAGAGCTGTTTTTGGAAAATATAACTGAAGAGATTAGGGGTCATATTTATCCCGGAAAACTTCGTTTAAAGCCTACAGATCTCATGTTCAAAAACGAAATCACTGGGAAGGTCGCTCATTTCTCAAGCAGTGATATTTCATCGGCCAACTGGATTTTTCGAGCCTCTGGTCTTTGTTTGCGGCTAAAACTCAAAAATGAAAACGTTCATCGTTACGACGGATTCGGGGAAATAGAATCTGAGAAAGTTACATCCTTTTTTAAGAAAAACTATGGTGTTGAGATAGCAAAGCGTGAGCTCTGCTACAAAGGCTTCAACTGGGGTGATGTTGTCTTTGAGGGTGAGTCTTAAGCTTGCGCTTCTATATTTCAAGGCAATGTTATGGAGTTTGCATACAAAAATGCACTCACCTTTGATGTGCCGCTATCTAACATTTCAAATGCAGCTGCAAATAAAAATGAGGTTATATTCGAATTCCATCCTAATGACGATGCTGAAATATGTCTTTCCGAAATGAGGTTTCACACTCCGAGTACAGAATCTGACAAAGATGGTGCGGCCACTGCAATATATTCTCATGTCATGCAAAAAGCCGACATAATCCAGGTTTGATGGCCATCCTTCTTTTGTTACTATTTTATCGTAGGTCACTGGCGATTCTTTGGTGGAGTTTAAGGATATTTCATACCTTCAGCCACGTGGTAGATATGATGTTAAACTCTACAATTCCTTCTTACATCTTCATGGCAAGTCCTTCGACTACAAAATCCCCAAGAGCACCATCATTCGATTGCTTTTGCTCCCACATCCCGACAATCGGCAGGTTTTCTTTGCGGCTCAAGTTGATCCTCCTCTCAAACATGGTCAAACACGTTATCATATAATTGTCATGGTTTTCGAGAAAGATAAGCACATTGATATCGAGCTCAGTGTTTCTGAGGAGTACCTTCAGAAGAATTATGAGGGGAAGCTCACTCAGGTTATGGTCGGGCCTGAATATGACTTATTCGCTCGGCTTTGTAAGGTATGCTCCAGTCCGCCGTTATCCCCTCATCTTAACTTTTATTGCCACAATTTTTCTTTCTAGACACTCTACAGCCAAAAAATAACAGTGCCAGGATCGTTTAAGGCAAAAAGTGGTGGTTCGGCTGTTGCATGCAGCTACAAGACGTATGTCGGTCTTCTTTACCCACTGGAACGAGGTTTTATTTTTGTTCCTCGACCCCCAGTTTCCATCCGATTTGATGAGGTCGTCAGTGTTAACTTTTCTCGTGGTACTGGGGCTTTACGTTCATTCGATTTTGAGGTGGGAGTGTTATCCTTACATCCCTTGTTCCTTTTCCATTATTTTGCTAATTCATTACTACCTTGATGCAGGTCGAAACCAAGATGGGTGTCACACACACCTTTGTCTCGATTGAGCGTGACGAGTACCACAAATTGTATGACTACGTAAGTGAGAAGCGCCTGCGTGTGAAGAACATTGAGGATAATGATGCAGTGTGGCGGGAGAAGCTGGAAGATATATGGTCCTCCTCCGATGAGTCACACGACGCTTATTTGGATAAAGTGAAGGCGGAGGGTCGTGAACGCACTGCCGAGGCTGCAGCGGGTACTTTTGCGGGTGCCAACTTCTCCGACGACGATGACGATGACGAAGACTTTAATCCAACAGAGATGGGCTCAAGCGAATCAGACATCGCCGAAGAATACGACAGTAACGCCCAGTCTTCAAGTGACTCAGACTCCTCTTCTACTGCTGGGAGCATCCCTGCTAGCAGCGCCTCATCATCCTCTGCTTCTACTCCGCGTCAGAAGAAGGTCAAGAAGGCGGCCCCTCCACCTCGACAGACTGATAAGAAGGAACGCAAAAAGGTATCAAAGAAGGATCCAAATGCACCTTCTCGACCACCGACAGCCTATTTTCTCTGGTTCAGTGAGCACAGGCAGGACATAAAGCTGAGTTTGGGTGGTTCCGTTGGTGTCGCTGAAGTTGCCAAAGCGGCGGGAGAAAAATGGAAGATGTTAAGTGCGGATGAGAAAGCTAAGTACCAGTCGGAGGCCGACAAGTTAAAGGAGCAGTACGATCGAGATATGAAAGTGTACAAGGCGAAGATCGCATCTGGGGAGTTGGAAGAACCGGTAAAGAGTAGTGCTAAAAAGACCAAGACCCCGCCCATAAAGGCGCAAAAGAAACCGGTGACGGCAGGAGCAAGCACCTTGCAAAGTGGTGGAGGGGGGACCTTCAAAAGTGCGGAGTACGTATCAGATTCGGAATCCTCCTCTTCTGTTTCTGTCACAGAGAAGGCAGGTCGTCGGGGAGATGATAGTCGCGGTAGTGGAAGCGGGACTGATCTGAGTGATTAATGGTGCATTTCTAACGATCAGTATGTGTAGACATTGTATTATGGTTGAATTTTTTGTTTTTGTCGCAGAGAATAAATCAATGACAATCATTCACAAGCAACAAAGTACGTATACAAGCAATATTTAGGCGAAAATTGGTCAGTTGCTCGACTGAGTAGATTCCATTTTTCAGTCTGCCTTCTTTTGGGGTTGGATCCTCTTTTTCTCTCGTTCGCCCCGTTGATGTTCTACTCTTTCACCTACGAGTAGATATTTATATTTGGAGGAAAATTGCCCCATCTATCGATCTCGTATTCGCCATGGGAAGCTGTTACTTTAGTTGTGTGCATCTCAACGTAGTTAGGTATGTACATTGTCCGAACTTGGAGGTAAACTTTGTCTTGCTTTGTAGTTGTGAGTATTTTATAAGCTTGTACATTTTAGCTGCCAGCCATTTTAGAGACCTCTTTCACATGATTGAATTCATTGAAAAGCTTTTTTTTTACTCATTTCTTGAAATGCGAAAATGTATTTGATGGACCTTAGATTTCTCAGAACAGCAGCAGTGGCATATAATTGGTCTACTGAAATCCCTTTAAGACTCCTCCGCTGTTATTTGTGCGATTGCTTTACAGGCTCGTCAATCAGTTTGGTTCATGTAAGTAGAAGTCATGATTCTCCATTGCGGTCTGAGATTCGATTTTACTTTAATTCGAGACCCGTGGATTCTTATAGTCGCTGATTGAAAATTTTTTGTACCTTTACCAATAACTTCACCCCATTGAACTCATTACTATGACCGCTGCTATAACTCTTTTGCCCACAAGAGGCCTGAAAATATGCAGATAGTCTGCATGATTTAATTGACTCTTCAGGCCAAAATTACAGCTTCCACAGTTATGACCAATGATGGTATGGTATACTACACTAATCCAACCCTAGACGATAATAACCAACTGCTTATATTTTCGGCCTTCGGGCTCTTCCTGCTGCTGCTGCTCGCATTCCAGCCCTCCTTTCATCCACCAGACACTTAACAGCCATACAAACAGTTGCAAGTGAAAGAAACGCAGGCATAAGGACAGCTACGGCAGTGCTCAGACCTGTAATGACTTCTAATTGCGACCACCGAACAATTGTCTCCACTGTAAGTATTCCCGACCAATCGGACCATTTGAAGTTACTGCCACGTGCATCTCCATGTACACAAGCCAGACGGAAAACGGGTAAATATCCACTGCCTTTGTCCACCGCAGCATCGATGGCCGACTTAGCCTCGGCGTAAATTAAATGGTATGCCGGATCAAGGCGCACTCTACCTCTCGACTTCATAAGCAAGGTAGAGAGGTTCACCTGTTCGGCGTGGAACGCCAGCCATCCGGAGGGAGTTCCGAAAGCACCAAACGCGCCCGCCATGAGTGCGGTAGCAGTGAGGTTACTAGTTTCACTTTTGCTGGTGGGAAGTCGAAACCAGGAGATGGGCGAGTGAACAGTGCCACGCACGGGGCAGGAGAGTACAAAACTGTCGCCATCTTTCACACGCATCCGTTTTATGGATGGTTTTGATACCTCGTTGGCGGCCTCCAGTGCACTCATCTTTTCCATGCCGCGGGTGAAGGGGATGAAGGAGTAAAGGAGCCTGGTAGCAAGAGAAAGTAGCCACTTTTAGAGCTCAGTTGGTTTTTGAAATATGGAGTGTCATTAGATATGACCAGAATTTCCATCTATGAATGCCGAGGTATCAACTGTTTGTGGAGCTACGGGATTAGTGAGTTGCTGAATTGGGTAATTTGTTGGATCACACTTGCATGGCACCATCTCATTTTTTTGGATGTTATCAGAGAATGGTTGTTAATGTCCACGTTTGTTGAGATGCAAGTTGTTTCGTCGGGTTACAAAAAAGACCGTTCAAAATAACGTAACAAATCGCCCACATGTAAACACGTGGAATACAATTGAAATGCAAATGTCATTTATTCCAACGGATGTTTTGAATTATGTTGATTAGGGACCTGCATTGTTAGCAGTAGAAGCTAGGCATTCAATAAATGCCTACCAACCCGAGACTAGCGCAGTTGTAATTTTGGCTCTAATCAACTCGAGACAACAGCTGGCAACGATAGCGTAGATCAACTTAAAATGGCAAGGGATTTTACTGCTTTACTCCCATCCTCGCTCAAAAAGGAAAGAAGCTACGATGCGAAAACAGTACGGATAGGTTTGGGTGGGCGTAACTTGACTTCTGTTTGAGATTGCCTAGCCTGCCTTGTAACACTTAATTCCTTTTAAAAATGCCGCTTACAGCGATTTTAACACGAATGGGTATGCAACGCTTACTTAGGTAGGTGCTATTCCACGCAAAAACTACGAATATGTAGGCGAGTTAAAGTAGCAATCAATTGATTGACTTGATTTCGAGAATGATGGTTCTAAAAACTGCGATGATATTTATGAAATAATTATTGCATACCAAACCTTTCCTTAGCTTGACAGAGGGATGGGAATTTCCCAATCACAAATGCGGCAACAACAGGCATTTTGCAAGAATACAAAGCATTAACGTGACACAAGTATTGGCACCCGTACTATTTTCAGTGAAGAGCATAATGTCGACAAATCTGGTCAATCAACATGCAAAACGTCAGATTAGCAAACATTCACCACTAACAGCCGTCTAGGATAAGAAATATGAATCGAGGTAACATACGAATTTTTCGGAGCAGAACAAGGTCGGTAACATGGTCGAATAATCAGTTCACTAGGTCGTTTCTTGAGTGCCCGAATACCCGACTCTAATACCCCGCGCGCAATGAGATGTGACCGACAAGGCAACCCGGAGCGGCCAAACTGTCGAAGTGGCTTCGTAGCATAGCGCGCCAGCTTGTAAGGTCTCAAGGGGAAGAAGGTGTCAAGCATGCGTACATAGCAAGTGCCTACGCGCATCTGAAAGCCTTCACCACCACGTTCAAAGAAACCGAGTTCAGGGATACCTGGTGGTAACTGAGCCACGCAAGGTACGCAAGGCGACCATGGGCCCCATGAAGTGAAAATCTGGGAAAAGATTGACAAGTGCTCCAGTTTTCATGAAGGCAAAGCTGAATGGATGATTGTGCGCTACATTTCCATCATCTGCACTAACAGTCTGTTAACTCTTTGTCTAGTGTTAGGAATTTTTAACTCAATCGGCTCTGAGTCAAACACAATTTTGATGAAAGAGTGGCAACATTTTTAGAATACTGCTTAAAATACTATAGTGACTCAAAACGAAGGTTCATATTGCCCACCAGAATCGCGTTTTTCTCAGATTGTTCGAGCAATTCTTAAATGAATCCAAATCTGCTTTAAGTAAATGTTGTCATAATCGTGCCAAAATCAGTTATAGGCCCTTATTGGGGGTGTCCTTAAGAAGCTGCATGTAACTCAAGTATGCTACTTACGACCATTAAAGCAGTGTTAAAGAAATTAAAAACTGGTTTTTCTTAAAAACTCAGACTATGACATTGTGAACAAAATGTCTGGCAACTAAAACAGTCTTATTAATAAAACGCCTGTTCAATAGTCAAAGCATGAAGTGGATGTGGTCTTCGTTAAGTTGTTTTATTTTTAGAGCAGCAAGGAAATTAGGAAATATTTGTTAATGGAGACACTCTATAACCTTGCTAAAACCGTGCCTTCCAACTGTTCTGCTTAGTCTAAAATAATAAAACCGCGACTCTTGTCGTAGGTGAGAAATTTAGAGATATCTAAACCTCACCTCAACATTGGCCGGGATGATTGTTTTACGCCTTAAAGTTCTGATCGACTTGGAGACCTTCGGATCAGTCTCGTTGTTTTTTAGGTAAACCATGGGTGCAATAGTCTGCCGATAAGGTTCTTCGCCAGCACCAAGCACGGTAACAGCCCAAGTAACGCGAGGGCGCCCACGATACATGCAGGTGTATATACCTGTGTCTTTTTTGCGGGCTTGACGCAAAATCAACTGATCCATGTAGACGTAGACACGAGGAGAGATAAATCGTGTCTTTGTAGAAGTTATCCGTTGTGGCGCTCTACCGGGTTTCTCAACTGTGTAAAATAAATTAAGCTGTTGTTTTGTATAGTTGCCCAGAAATAATTTTTTCAAGAGGAAGTCTTTGGACTCAGACCGCAGAATATCATCAGGAATTGATCCAGATCCCGTGAACAGTCGAAAACGAACACTTTTACAGGATAAGAAAGTCTATTAGCAATTGTGTCATCAGTACCTATCACGATCTAATCTGAATAATAAACACTTAAGTCTTCCAAAAGTACGCATAAGATTGTTCATTTTGCAGCATCACCTATTAAATATCAACCTTCATTTTAGTCAAGTAACATGAAAATTGCGTTTTTAAAACTGCAAAAGATAAGTTTAATCTCATGGTACCTCTCACGAATATTTGAAGCGCTGAAATACGATGCTTTACCAGGCTTTTTTTCCCCTCCAACAGTGGTTCGGAGTGATTTTATCCATGTTTTAAGGCTAAAATCCTTTCTGCACTCTTCGAGATGGGGTTCACAGTGCGAACAGACAGAGCATGATAAGTGAAGACTTTCATCTTCAACAAGAAGGACGCTATCATAAGCGACGGGATTGTCGTACGCACACGAGTACCTTGTCCATTTTATAATTGGTAGACATCTTAAACAAGTCAGTGATAATAAGGGCAATAGTAAAATATTAGTTGAGCGAAAACACATTCCAAATAAAATAGTTTGACCTTGGAAGATGTTTATTCACCCAGTTAAACCAGATTATACATGCAAAAATTAAGAGAATAATTTGATTTCTTATCCCTAGTTACGCTACACTACACAAAAGGGTTACATAAAAAGCTCATGTCAATCCAAATTTAATCTGTGTTATTTATTTGCTGCTCAGCATAGATCACACATTTAGTGCTTGTTGCTAGGTTCCTTTGCTATAAGTTTGCAAATATTGCGCGTTGCCAAATCCACTTTTAATAATAACCACGTTATTCTACAATGCGGTGTTTTGCAAGCATTATTCCACGTATGTAAAATGTCACCATCAGAGCATGATTAAGCGTTTCAGCGAATTCCGTTATAATCTCATCGTTTAACGCTTCCAATATTTCCTCGACTTATAATCCATTATGCATATGAACGAGAGCAGCTACTACGGGCAGCTATTAGATATTTTAAGGGGCAATACTTATGAAATATTGCGTATAGCGTTGATTGAGGAGACTGACCATTTGAGGTACCTTTGAGCAGTCTGTAATACTCTCCTTATGTGGTCATCTGACATCTGGTGCTCATTTTGGTATTCATCTTTCTCTTGTATGCATGTACTGGTCTTTGGGCCGAGCCAAGGTCGTATCTCTTCTTTCCTTTCTAAAGTACGTGCATTCGGTCTACCTTAATGCCCTCTCCTACCTAGTGGGAAGTTTAGAGGCGCTACATTTATATCATTGAACAGCAACGGCATTTTTACCCTGCGCAGAAAGCTCACTTTATGGTAAATCCATTACCTCTTTGCTTCTTAAGGCAATCCTAGTGCGATACTGCCAAATTCCTTGTGTTCAAATGGTATGGTGGGGATCCCAGAACGAATAGGTATTTTGGGAGTTGATTAACCCAAATAAATTTACTCCTAGGCTAAAAACACTCCTCAATTATCTTGAATGAATATTCTTCTCAGTTGCTTAATTTTGGGTAAATCTGAAACGGGGTTCAGAATAAGTATGGAATAAGGTCTTAGTGCCCAGACTTATTTAACAGCATTTAGCCAAATTCAAAGTGAGAAACAATCACCACGACATGGAGCGTGATTGTGCATCGTAACTGAAAGATGCCATTGAGTAGATTGCGATTTTATATTGTTTCGCTTTACCCATGGACCATGTGGTGCATAGGATTGAATTAAAGTGAGCTCACTTTACAACACCTATCTGTGCTTGGATAATGACATCCTTACCTCTACCCTCTTTCCATACAAATATTCCACGGAGAGCAGTTATGCGGTCGATGTGGTATCTATGGGCTGAATTGACGAATAGCTGAAGAAATAGCTGAAGAAATTTTCTAAAACTACCATGTTTAATGAAGTTTCAGGCTCTAATGCTTCATAACCCCGATAAATTTTTGTAACCTTTATCGGTGTAAAATGCTTTGTCTCATCTCCATTCTGATATGACTTTTATTTCCAAATCGCCTACTGCGTTTCGCATGGGATTATGCGTTTGCCAATTGTCGATGCCAAGAAAAGATACCAGCCATTACTGGGATGAAGGTCATTAGGAAAGTGTGATTTTGTTTGGGGAAGATTTGACAATGTTTCTCCCTATTCCCCTGTCTCCTTCCCTCTCTTTCCCTCTCTACCTATTTACTTGCCTCTCAGCACACTGAACGCGCTCAAGGAAGACAATTCAGGCAGTGAAAAAGGTCCCTTCTGAAGTGGGCTAGCCCCACCCTTCCACTGGCAAATTTGCGTGAATTGGGCGGGGCATAGATAGAGAAAGAGGGAAAAAAGGAGGCCATTGAGGAGGGCTGCAGTTGGTGGTGGTGGTGGTGGTGGTTGCTGCAAGAGTTAATCACTAGGAAAACGACTGCGATGTTCGCACAATCAATGAACTGCCTGCCCGACCGCCCGCCTGCCTGCCTGCTTGCCCGTCCGCCCGCCTGCTTCTCCTGCTATCCTGCTTGCCTCCGTGCCACTATTAACATCCGTTTACTCTCACCCTCGGGGTTTGTGCAAAATCAGATAGCAACGTCCTAGCCCTCTCCCGCGCTGGAGCAAAGGTCCATTCACCAACTCACACTAAGCCAGGCTCTGAAGGCTAAGTAGTGTGCTTAAATTACTGCGGTGTGGTTGATCAGACCGTAATGTTTAGAGGGAAACATTATATGTATCTATATTTTGTGCCGAGCTTGATTAATGATAACCGTCAATACAGCGCCAAAACCTAAAATGATGGAAAGAGTTGTCCGTTTACTGTTGACTATCTTCACGTAGTTAATGCGAGAGAAGAAGCAAAATTTACTGGGCAGTAAAAATGCAATTTATCTCTTCTCGACCAATCCACAAAAGTACTTACCAGTCATTTCTACAAATGCAATATTCATCTGCAATGTAGTGAGACAGCAGCGTGAATTTGATATTTGATAGCACAAGTGAACGGAAGTTGAAGTCATCCACAAAATAAGTAGCCAAATGCATGCATTCGCCTTTGCATGTTGGATGAAAAAATACGGTATACGGACACTTTCATCACCATAATAGTAATCTAGACTTCGTTATTAAATGAGGCATGTCCACACCGAACGTCACGCAGACGTACAGGGACTGTAACGCTCCACATTTTCAGGCGGTGTGTGGGATAGTGAAACAGAAACAGGAGTGCCACGTAGTTAACATGCAAATCGACATGCTCACCACGACCTTATAGTTATGGATTCAAACCTTTACTTCTAAAGCCAGATCTATTTTGCCTCTGAGATACAAAATAGCTCCTTCCTTCCCTCCCATTCATCCTGGGGAGCAGTAAAAGTTACTTCTCAAGCTCCTATTTCTGGAATTCTCTAAGTTGAATGGATTTTTTTCCTAAACCCTTTTACTTTGATCTTTTTGCGTTCATTTGATAGCATCTGGCCATAATTGTACGTGATTCTTTTTATAGTAGGCGATGGCATCCGCAGGATGCTGCGTTTCTATCATAGGATTTGCATTAGTCTATGATGGTGAAGTCGTGTTCGGCGTGGAAGTGGGAGATCGACAGTAGGTGGATGGCTAAGATTATCCGATGTTGTGCATGTACGCGTAGTAAATGTCGAGGGTTTGTCGCCCCTTTGGATCGCTGGCAGACTTCTCAGCACACATTTTCTTCCCGAGGGCGGGTAATCATGGGATGGAAGAGAAGGGAGACGAGGTGGCTAATGATATGATTTCATTAGTGATACATTCTACCGCTGTACCTTGGCCAAATTATTAAATGTTTCAAAAAAAAGCATTCGCAACCTTAAGTAAGCAATAAATCCCATTTATATCCGTGTGGTTCTGCTGGTACCTGATGATATGGAGAGTATGGAGGGCAGGACCCTGCGAATGGGATGTTGCAGTTGAACATGCTTCATGATGCACATTGTTAAAAGATTTGCCATTCGCACACTTTTATGAGATCCCAAATTTTCAACAGCTTGGCATCTCCTCCAACTTCTTAATTCTCAGAAAATCCTTATGAATCTAAGCATTTAAAGATGGGCAATATGTTTCAATTTTGCACATGGTGGCATGGTGACACCGACTTTACCTCCACCGTTTCAATAAAGCGGTGACAAACACATGTATTGTCAATTTTCTCATCGTAATTACCGATAACTGACCCTAATACCAGGTTCGGAGGTCGCCATTTCACCAGATCTTGTTCTGTGAGGTCAGAACAACATATTTTGATTGTCAAACTCTCCTCATTAGGTTTGTGCTTCCTGGAGTTTCAATAATTATGGCCAGCATTAAATACGGACCCTATGGAAAGCTCTCAACTACTTCTGCACGTTGGTAGCACATAGTCTGCCCTAAGATTCTACGTTTTTAACATTGCCCCAATTATCCTCTTCTATACTTTCCGAATGAAAGTGGTGTATGTGCCAGTTGACAGTGAAATCTGTGAGGGATAATCAGCAGCCTCCTTCATTCCGGCTTTCTTGTGGGGTTCACAATGAGTGAGGCGGCAATAACCGTAACCTTGGCTCATCTACAAGAATTTGTCACGCAGATGTCCATTGTATCCTTTTCGAGATGTGTGACAGGTGAGCACATAAAATGACTCCTCTTTCTTTCCGCCCACTGAATCGACAGCATGGATCCAAAATCCTATTCTCACTGATTTATTATTATTACTTCTTATTGTTACCTGTCGCAACTTTTAATTCAGTTGCCTTAGGGATAAAGATGGACTTGGATGTTGGCCTCCGCATTTCCTCTTGCTCAACACTAGACGCAGCTGCAGATCCTGTTGAATTGGCAATGAGTCCCCGTCATATTTCAGACCAACATCATACTACTTGCGTGCAAAATTGGGGATCGGTGTGTGGGTGTGAACGTCTTCACAACGTCGACAACGTCAATAATAGTCGTCGTGGTCGATTTACCAGGAAGGCAGTGGAAAATGCTAAACATTTAACGCCTTGTTTTAAACTCGTGAGCAGTGGGACCCGAGCCATTGTGCTGTCATTAAACGGTGCCTTGGCATCTGGGTCATACTAGTAGCACCGCCAGCCTGTCTGTTGGTCGTCGACAGTGCGCATTCTGTACTTACCAATTTTTCGTCTTCATGAGAGACTAAGAGATGCTGCATACTATTCGAGGGAGGTGAGTCATTACCACTCCCTAAGATATTAATGAGGTCTTAAGTGACAAGCAAATGAAGCTCTTTCATTCCACACAAGGGAGTTGCTATTTATTCACTGCCAAACGAAGGTGATAGGTCACATTTAAATGCATGTGCCAACAAATTCTCTTACCTTTGATGAGTTTTTTAAATCTCACATTATTGAAAGTTAATGAGCTTTGGTTTTGCTGAAAATAATTCGTCAAATAATAATGCTAAAAGTGCTTGAACTACGCTCACCTGAAGCCTGCTTTGCCAATCTGAACAGTTACACATCGGTGTGGATGGA